TACAGGATAGAGGCTAATGAGATGACTGAAGGCATCCATACATCCAGTCACTTACCACACATGTCCACTTTGCATGGTGCTCTGCGATATCCTACTGTGGTGTGGTACGTATTTATCGAGTTGCCCGTGTACGAAACCGTGGACACGTAGCACCATGGCTTGGCCATTCGACCCTCCGGGTTGCGACAACTTCGAAAGTTGACAACGCTCAAAGCGAAGCTGGAGACTGGAGTTCGATTTGTTGGTGAAGTGTAATTCACAATCACCAAATACGGAGTTCCTGGCTTCAAGACACTTACGCGGATTACGTCTACCCATGGAACACATATCTACAAGAGAAGAAGACAGACATAAATCAGAATCAGCTAAATTCCTTCTTCTGTCCACATTCGCTTTGGGTACTAATATTTCTAACAGATCGGATGGTTGGATATAACAATACGATCATCACCTGAGGAAATATGAATCTGAAGAAAATGGATAATGAGGATAGGCGAGCTTTTTCTTCCCCATTCCCCCCCTTGCATCAGGAATAAAGTGCACATCCCCCAGGTAGTTTTTTAGGGTACCCACTGTTGCCTACTTATAGCCGATTGAATAATCCTGTCTGGTTCTAACGAGGAAGATTGTTTACCGAAAGAGAAAAGTTTCATTTTAGGTTCTCCGTCCTTCGACACAAATAAACGTATTATACCGGAGGAGGGTATACTTAAACGTGATGCATTTGTCAGTATCCAAGTCAAATCCACTAACCCGTCAGAAAACACCTCGTATTTTCCGAATTTAAAAAAAGGCAGTTTCAGACTTAAAGCTGCAGTAACTTTAGTCAACAGGGCAGACTCGAGTCCTATCTACACGATTCAACCTGCATTAAATGTCACGCGTATAGACATGGAGAATAGTTGGGGACAAGTTTGGGCCTACTGCACGGATAGAATGATGCGAATTAGAGAACAAACACCAATACACAAAGTTTTAAACTGCCTAACAAGTGAATATCGAACTGAACCATGGCGAAAGTTAGGAAACTCTGACCCAAAAACCTGATCCACTTGTCAAAGTTGTAAGGTTAGCTGAATATACCACAAAATCTGCATAAAGTAATATTATAATTACATTTGTTTGCAAAAACGAGTCGGCAGCATTTAAATACGAACCAAAGAATAGTTTTACTCAACCGTTAATGTCTTGTTAAAGTTGCTTACTTGACCACCCTCGGCAATATTGGCATCTCCAAGATAATCCTCGCCAACACCCTCGTAGCAATCAATAAGGTGCTCTGAAGGACAAAAAAATTTAAAACAAAATCCTTGTTTGTCAGCTGTCGGTACAGCATAAAGATGCAATCCTTTCAGCTGTCAAGGGTTGTGATTCCCTATGGTCATGTCTACAGCCTGGAGATCTTTTCCCATACCAACTTCTGACGAGACTGGACGATCCGCATTTGTAGCCATGGTAAGCAAGACCGACTCAAAAAAGATGCATATAAAAGATAATATCACATAATAGTTGTACATTTAATCATGCAGAAACCTCATTATTCGTGGTTGTTCCTGCTACCAATTGACGGCATGACCTACGGATTCTCGTTTGTTCTGTGCACGAACAAAGGGTCTTCCAAAATAGTTCTGCCCATCTCATTTCTATGAAGAATCAGGTTGTGCTTGCTAATCAAATAAACTACTCCAAATTTGCTCCTGGTTTTTGTTAATCAAATTCAAATGGTTCACTCAGTAGCAGCCGACTGTTGATTGGCTCATTATACTTACAAGGTCAATTCCGTTTATCTACTCAAATGCAAGCAACCTAACAATTCTTTCATAACAAGTAAAAGTTATTAAACATTATTTTTTACAAATATTTGACGTTATTTTGCAATTTATTGCGAACTACATGAATTATACAGAGCTGATTTAAGTCAAAACGGGAATATGACGCGTACCCCGTGGAAATACACATTTTCGTGATGATATCACACACACGGTACTAGGTGGGCAGTAGCTGTGGCATACGTTAGGACGCAGTCAATGCCAGACACCGTAATTAAGATGCTTAGCCAGAGTAGTGGCGTGCGCATATCTGAAATGGAATGCGTGTGTGCGAAAATGGCTGAAGCGTCTTGCGGATGGTGTTATAAGTCAGAACCCTCGGGGTTATTGGTTGCGTAGGAGACTTCGAGCACGTTTTCCATGGTGATACGAAGCTAAGTTACTCAGCACGTTTCAAAGGCGTCCCTGGCTTGCCAATGACTTATTCCTACGGAATGCCTGAGCTCCGGATATTCGAGTACTAAGTTGTCGTGTGTCGAAATTACAGGAAAAGTGTGAGATCGGTATTCTTCTTGAAATCAATAAACGTATTTGTTGATGATCACTCTAACAAGCTAAAGGTCTTGAGCACGCCAGGTACTTGGAGAACTGTCCATAATTGTTCCTTTGCATTAACAGAGTTTTAAAAATGAACAAATGTATGTATGCCTAGTGAGCAATGAGTGCTATCCTAATTTTGGCCACAAAACTTTGCTATCACATGCAGTTTCCGCAAGATTGTCCGGCAGAGCCGCGAGTTGTATAAATTGATGCAATTTGATGCTGCTAGCAATGAAGCTGTTTAACCACACGGCTTTGGTGAGAGGCAAAGAAAAAGAGGATTAAACACTGCATTTGTAAACAATCGTTTGTAGATCCTTGATAGCAGCGGGTGCAGCTATGTGGTTTCTTTTGGGAAATAGTGATCACTTTTGTTTTCTCAAGATAATGGGTCAGTATTTGCAGTTTTATCTATTAACACAAGTCGGATCCAGAATTGGCCATTGCATCTACGAAATACGCAATTTAGAGCACGATTATCTCAAAAAAAAGAAAACACATGGCTTGTGAATCAGTAGTCTGAAGATAAAGGGATTTCCCACGATCTAATATCATCAAATAGATTGCCGAACGGAAGGAATAATGGTTTAATGGTTGGACGGAAGGATGGATGGGTGAATGGATGGATAAATGAAATCGAGACTGTTTAAATGAATGATTGACTGAAAAATTGAAGTCTTTAATGATTAATTTGCCATGTGAGCGGAAATATGGTCAATCCGCTCACAGCTTTCTGTTTATCTGGCACAAATTAACAATGATCAAACCGTTATTACACCAACCGACGAAGCGTAGTCACTAAATACATTGTCCCTGATTATTCTATCCTAGGCATTCTAACAAAACAATCCCGTGGATATTTTACTCTTACTACTTCTCATACATAAGATTCCAAGAATAGCGATTCAAACTCACCACAATGTGGAACTGCACAAGTTCCATACTTTGCCCTCGTAACCATACACCAAGGACCCCGTGGATCATCATCCGGATTTCGACAGTAGTTTGACTGCTCCTGCAGCACCGAGGCATTCCAACTGCTTCGTAGATGTAGGTGGGTAAATTCACTCCACGGCAGACAGGGTTCGCCAGCTGCCGTATGATTCAGAGTCCCGTTGTAGGGCGGTCCACTCTGTGTATAGCAGTCCATTGTGGACGGCTGCCCTACCCCAAGGAATGGCCATGCGAGGAGGAGAAGAAAGCCTAATTTTAGCAGTGACATCGCATGCAGTGAAAGAATGAAGAGACCTGACCGAACACTGCTACCGTCGTGTCTGTGTGTGTGTGTGTGTGAGTGTGTACACTCGGCATGTTTATTTACCAGCCAATAGGAATGCGCCTGCGTGGTGTCATCGATGCGCATTGTTGTCTGGGGGGTCAAAAAGGTGGACGGTAGTAACGGTGGACGTTTGTACATAAATTCAATTAAGCTTTTATTTATCTGTGTATGTAGAAATTGCTCTATCTTGGCACATATTTACCGGATTTTTTTCTAGCTTCTCCTACCATGGAAGATTTAAAGGATGAGAACTGAGCGACAGAGGAACGCTCGGCAATTAACGAATTTAACAAGCTTCCCACTACTTTTAGCAGATTGTATCACCTCCAGAGGTCACTCCGGTGGTACGTTGGTCGCTGCGAAGTAGAATACGTTCATGACCTTTTAGCCCTTGAGAAGAAGGTGCCAGGCGTTATTGAGGCTTCAAAACTACCTGCGACCTCTCAAATCTACTGAAAACCATGCGAAAACTTCACAGGGGAAAGACGTCCGCACTGAGTTTTGGTAACATATAAGACTGATGCTAGAAGAGCTGCCAGCGTCCAAGGCATTCCATTTGTTCACACAAAGAAATGCCTTCATTATTACCAGAGGAGGCTCATTAATTTAAAATTTGGTTTTCGGGTAACTTGTAGGATGCCGTTGAAGGGCCACGAAATGTTAAAGTGGAACTGTTTTTACTATTTTTTAATTCCATTTTCGTTGTCTGATTGGTTCAAATAACAAATTTTACAAACCCACTTATGGTTAAAAGAAGGCTGTTTGGATTGTAAAGATGCATGAACCTCGACTGGTTAAATAATTGGAGAGTAACTTGTCAAGAACTACCTTTTAAGGTAGTTACCGTGAGCTGTGAATCGTTTAAGTGGCATCCACATCAACTGAGAAGGCGAAAACAAAGCTAAACGGAGTCCTCTTTTAGGTAACTGGAACACCCCACTGACTGTTCGCCACCACTCCACTACCTCATCACTACCCGCTCTATACATTAGTGGAATACATAACGCGAAGGCAATTATTTTCCGTGTTTACGGTGAACTCCAGGACACATTAGTTTACTACTAACCGTTTACTCGCTTGAGGCTGAACACCGAATATAGCTGAAATTCATCTACTCCGCACAGCTCGATAACACCAAAATGGTGTATCAAACGCCCCAGACTAGAAAAGCTGGTCACAACGAAAGTTTGAGAGGAGTCAAGACAGAGCAGCAGAAGACCTTATACCGCAAAACTGGCCTGTGAGTAGATTTGCGCTTTGCCTCAGGGGAGGTGGAGGGAGAAGGGAGGAATTCACTACCTCGTTGTATTGCCAGGTCTTGTGATGACAGGAGTTGACAGTCTTTTTACCGACTCACCACATCTTAGTGGTGCCGACCTTGGATGTGCGGCAAGGGTAGTTGTGGGATGGTGGATTGCCTGTGAACAACCAATGATGTGTTCACTCGCTCTTTCAAACGTCCGTGTAATTATGTGCGAACCATTTTACCGCTCCAGTTCTTCGTAAGACGCCAAATCAACAGCAACGCGTAAGCTCCTACAATTAGGAATGCAGAGCCACCTGGCAAAAGAATGCATCCGTATTTAAATAGTTCTTTTTTGATAACCGCTACCAAGCAGTACTTTCAGCTGTCATACCTGTCACACCCCTCGCAAGTGCGGCAAGATACTTCTGCGCAATTTAAACCTCCTTGAAGTCATTTCACAAGTGAAGTGGGTTCGAAGCGAAGCGGATTTGTTCCATCCCCTATCTAACGAGGGCTTAGAAAAGGTCGGGAAATTTTACAGCTGAGGGCAAAGTATTTCCACTTCACAATGCACAAAACCACTTGTACTTCACTTGTCCTTAGAAATTCCGACAAGCCAGTCCATCGAGGTCTACTATTTCAGGTCGCCTTGTTTGCTGTCGGGCCCGTCACAATCGTTTTAATGAGATGGCTACGACTCAGAGGCCTCCAATTTCACGCACTGTTGATGAGTTAATGGGAGTAGACCAGGCAATTATGTGGATTTTGCCCCGTTTCACTCCAGTAGGGAAGGCATTTTAAATAATCTATTATTTAGAAGCCTCCGAGTAGCTAGTCATGCCCCATAAATGCCTTCTCTCTGTGACCTTTTATTGACGGTCACCGAAAGCATGCCATGCCGAAAGAGGAGCTATACATAATCCGCCACTCAAACACTTCGGTCACCTCTGAAAGAAGCACAAACTTTGCTGCCTTAGTGATTGCAGGAGAACCAATTCGTACTCTACCGACCTTAGTTTGGTGTCATACCCTTCGCAAACAGTTAAAGATCCCGTGTATTCCCCATCATGCACTCACCTATCAAGTTACACGAAGGAGCGAATGGTTAAGGTATAAAAAGATGAATGGATGGACTGGTAGATGGGTAGATAGATGGAGGGATACAGGGTGGATACGAGATAGGTGAAAGTTTAAGGGAAGGATGGGTGGATGGATGAAAACGGGATGAACAGACAAATGAACACTTTATAAGCGCAAAACCCCAAAAAAAGACTTTCAACTTTCATGCTCACCAGCCACGCAGCAGACTATGCAAGGAGCGAACGATCAGAATTAGGTGTTTCATACGCTGACTGTTTATAGGAACAACTTTGTTGACAAAGGCCGTTACTGGCACAATTTCGGCCAGCTTTGATTAGTGTTCGGTCTTTGAAGGCGTCCTATCACTTATCCGTTGAGTATCTCACAACCAAATTCCGTCGATACTTGTCATCATGTCACATTGACCGATGGCGTCTGGAATGGACCCTTTTGTGTTCACCGGGCATAAGTGCGCAACCGGACAAATTTACCATCAAAACATGCAAAAGTAAAGGCGCCAATTTGAAGTGAGACGACCTAGTAACCGGGCCGATCCCGAATTTCACTTGATTTCTAAACTGGACAAGTCACGCCCTTTGAAGGTCGCAAATGCTACTGACATGTTGAGCTGCGCTAGTGATCAAATTATTTCAAGTCGTGGCACCAACAGAGGTAGTAGAAACAAGCTTGATTCCATGCCGCATGGTCCGTTCACCTTTAATCACTTACACAGATGTGCGTTGATACTAGGGCGACATTCGTCCGCAGCATCACATGCCATTGTAACATTGTTTACTCTCTCTCACCTCCAGCAGATCAGCACAGCACACACTGTGTGCTTGTGAGGTCCGACCTCATGGAGTCAGCTACCACTACTACTGCTACGGCTGCTGCTGCTACTGCTGCCAGCGCTGCGTAAACAGTACGCTTTGTCATGTCCATGTCGGGCGGTGAACCTCAGCAGAGGACAGGTCGCAGAGTGATCTAATAGGGTAGAGGATGCAACCCACCCAACATTGCCCAGGTAAAGCCAACCACTAACGCTCCACTTTGTAATGTAAGGATTTTGTTTGCTTGTTTTTGTAATTATAAAGTATCTTCTTTGAAAAATATGGCAAATAAACCGATCGTAATGATCATAAAGCGGAATTCAAGCCTGAAGTGGTGAGGCGGCAGTGGGTGGAACGCTCCAATTTGTTTACTGATTCTAGTTCCCAAATATCAAAGGTCTTGATCTCCCTGTTTTTTTACTTAAAGTAAGTCGAAAAGTTCTAGAATTTTAAATGGTATAAACAAAAATTAATCGAAAAGTAGGGAATCAGCACTTTGGCCCACCCAAAATTGCACTTATGTATATTGTTGATGTGTGAGACAATAATTGACCTAAGTCTACAACTCCTACTAGATTGAACAGCGTTCTGTCCCAATCGATGGTCTTTAAATGCGATAAGAGGTGGTATTTGTGTCAAAGATGCGGTCGAATAAGTGTCAGGTCACCGAATAAACATCCCACAGATCCCGCCAATTATGATATGGTAATGTGCCCCCTTTTAAATCCTCCAAGGATTTGTAATTTGCAAAGACGTTTTAGATTTAATAAGCATTACAAAATTATTCACTTTCTGCATTTTATTGTTTTTCCTTCCCAGTTTTATAAATCAATCAGTGAGAAACCGCTTCTACTTAATTCACATCAGTAGACATAGTCGAAAGGAAGTCGATTTAAAGATCATACACTTTATAGGATTTAAAAGAGCAGAAAAGCTAAAAAGCACATCAAAACGAGCGCAGAAGGTGAATTGGCCATGAAGGAATCCAAGACCCAGGTGAAAGTCTCCTCATACGGTCGCATAATCCACGGTTCCTCATCCAGCGGAAAATCACCCTCACTTTCCAAATGTTGGTAGGGTTGGAGCTCCGAGTAATTACCCGAGGGGTAGTAACAACAAACAAGCACGTGACGTTTTACCCCCTGATCACAGACACTCCTCTCACATCCGAGGTACTCTGTATCAGCCCAAATAATCTGCCTATACTGGCCACAATAGCCCCCTCTGCAGATATTCAACTCAAAGTCGAAGTTGTATCTGTTAATGTCCCACAGGTTAAAGAAAGTCTCTATGGAAGGCGGTGCCTCGTTCAAATCACGCAAACCTTCGGTAGATATCATCGCGATATTGATGCCCACATAAAATAGAGGTTTCTCCTCTGGGATAGCTGGATCGGGGAAGCCCCAGGAGCACCTTTTGGCCCAGAACCGAGCATGCTTTTCCAACTCGGAAGACCAGAGCAGTGGGCGCATGTTAACGGCAGGTGGCTGCACACCCACACGAGCCGAGACGTGGAGGAAGGTGAGCATCTCTCGATCACTCGTTGAAATAGCCTCCACGAGGGAGGTGATAAGCACAAAGGAGTGAAAGAGAAGGTACAAAGGCATGGATCTGGTGTTGGACGGTTTTAAATCGACGCCATGCCTTGAAGTGCGCGACGGATGACAACAAATCGATTGAAGGCTTGAACGCTCGGAGCATGACGCACGGGCTTTCAAACGCCTCCAGAAATCTCTTATAGTCAATCCAGGCGGGTTAATCGTAGAAACGTCTCCCTAGGAGTAGACCTAGCCTCCAAGGTGAGGGGTCCTCCGGGTGAGCACCTCAAGAAAATAACTCTATTCTGATCCTCTGGAAGTGCACCCCTTTTCTTTGGGCAGTTTTCGATCACCTCAAAACTCGTGCTCCTACTCAACTCTCTCAATTGGCCGGTGTCATGTAAAAACAGACATCAGACAACCCAATAGTCAAAGAAAATACCGCGACCAATTAAAGTACGACAAATAGGGGACAGTTAAACCCCCCTATGGCCAGCAGTCACGTACACACACGTCATGCACTCTGCTTACTCATCCACGTCGGTGAACAAAGACAGCTGTATCGAAGTCTTGTACCCGCATTACTCGAGTCGTTGGTAAGCCAATGGTATTCAGACCCACTGGCAGGTAAAAATGAGTTCACCAACAGTAATTCGACTATTGTGACCTAGGTCACGACAACTTCGATGGGTTATCTCAGCCTAATGATCTATGAGTTGACAGGCTGCTTGAAAAATTAACAAAGATCGACACAACGCACCCGTCCTGAACTGGATTTCGGGGCACTGGCCATCTTTATCTGCTTGAGGTTAAATAGGTGAATTGGACGAGATGCTGAACATTTTGTAGAAGAGAGCTCCTCCACCGGTGCACATCCATCTGTGCGTCAGAGGAACATAAAGGCATGCCGTTGACGATTCCGCAAATTACGAAAGTACACAAGAACTGCAGCACCGCCACCATTCGTGCCACAGAGCAAACGCTGGAAAAATACTGACGAACCTCGCCCCAGGATTCCACTAGGATCAAACCACTTGGTCGTGAATGAATGTGGATGTCCAAGGCCATGTGCATTTGCTGGTACCACTTTCTAGCAAATGATTTAATTGAACCACAACTACAAGTTACTTCCATCCGCGCATTGGACCCATGTGTTGGAGGAGGGGAGCATGCATAACCTCCGCACACACACACACACACCCTGCACCAATGCTGGTCACAACTTCCAGGACGGTCTACTTCCGATTTGACAAGCCGGAAGTCACAACCAACAGGGTGAAAGTCATCCCATTCACTGCGCGTGTTTCAGGAGTTTCATTTAATCCAACTCCTGTGATCCAGAAATGCGGTAGAGGAGGGAAACAGGCACACGCCGTCGGGAGGAAAGACCTATGACAGTTCGTGACACCCTCAAAGATCTACTTCAGTTGTAGTGCATCACAATGCTGTGCTTTAAGTCTACACATTCAACAGCCCTGTTCGGAGTTTACACGAGGACTTTGTACAAGAAGACGGAGGTTATTTACTTGATTCACATTCTTACTCTTCCAACCTACAGGAGATCAACACCTCAAACATACTAGCAAATCGCTAACAACGCAGACAAACAAACAAATTAAGGCTACATGGCGCTTCAGTTGTACAAAATTTACGCGGAAATCAAGGAGTTCTTTCGTGGGTTAGTCGGTTTGTTGATTGATTGATTGATAGGATAACTGTGACACCTAAATGTGCCTCGTCTTGCCCAAACTGAGTAGAAATTCGGCCACTCCAAGGTAGTAGACGGTTTGCGCGATGCCGAAAAGAGGTGCCATCACCATGACACGACAGCCGGCGCCCTTGAACAGGGCTTTCAAACCCTCCCGTTGGAAGGTGCGGTAGAAGCAGTCCGCGATGCCCGTGAATTGCATCTCACCCTTCAGATGTGACAGGGTCTGTAGACGGGTCTTCACCACTACAAAAGACGGCGGATAAGACGAAGGATATGCAAAATAAGCATGAACAGAAGCTGAAGAAATGTCAAACACGGTACTAGTAGTGGAGAAGGAATAATTTCATCAATTTTCCAAGGACTGCAATACCACTGCGGTAGCCCAGGTTTTTCCTTCCACGGTTTCACTTGAAAACCTACGAACCGTCTCTTGCCTTGTAGAGAACTGGTGACCCACCAGTTCTGCCTGACAATTCACCTCCTAATGTTTATGTGGGTGGTTTGATTGGCACCTTCACACAGCCCCCTGCACGACGTCATCAAAGTAGACACTTGAGTGAGAGCGAGGCTCGTCTGCAGTAACCTGGATTCCAAAACAGGATATGGTTAAGTCGATAATCAAAAGAGTTGCCATTTGGATTTCAACAGGACTGCCGCCTTCTCAGACAACCTCCGTGGGCGTGTTATCCCGAGCGGGTTCTTTTAAGTCGGACCTCCCAATCACTTGTCAACAAAATCAAGGAGACCAGGAACACATGCTCACCATCCACGGGAGTCACCAGAAAGGCTGCCACCGTGCTAGCCGTACATCCAGAGAGGAAGGACCAGTAGAAAACCGTTCCTGTACCGTCACTTCTACGTGGACCCTTCAAGGGAGAATAGATTTCAATTACCTCAGCTGATATACAGAAGAGGGGATAAAAAAAGGATGAAGTACCAGGTTGTCTAAATGTGCGAAGAGGGGAAAATACATGATGGAGAAGGTGATGTCTCGAAGTGCCGTAGCTCCCACACCCTTGTAGAGACCGAAGATGCCCTTCTGTCGAACAAGATCTAGCGCTAGACGAGTGGCGGAGAGGCGTTTGGCTGTCACCACAGTAGCATTAGCTGAGGCTACCGGGGCGGCGGTTCCACCTAAAAAAGGGGACAGTTAAGCCAGTCGTCTAGACAGTATCACATGTCTGCAACGTCCAACTTCATGAATGAGTAACAAAAAAGTCGTTTCACAAGCATGGTACTTTTTGAGTACCGCTATTAAAGCTGTTGTCGACGTTTCGCATCAAGTGAAGCCTACTTCAAATATCGGTAGATTGGACATTTCATTCCAGCGCAGTTCTCCACCTTCTCTCATATTTAGGGTGTTCAAATCCAATGGAGATTTTCAAATTCACCAAACCTGTACCTCAATAAAGCATTTAAGGCCTGATGTTCCGCATAGCACAGAAAAACCATCGCGACCTACGAGAGCCATCTCAATCAGGAATGGCTAATGACGCACACTTGTCCATCAACAGTTCACACTACACGAATGCCCTACGACAAATGAATCTGCCGTGTAAGGAGATACCAGGGAGGGCTACATTTCCTCCCTCATTCACCCCCACAGCGCTGTTCCACATGCGCATCCTTATTCGTAATGTCTAGACCGGCCTACGCCATTTGTCCCGACTTAACGTTCACTAGTCACAACCATTGAGGAACCATCCAAAAGCCCATTTAGACCTCCGAATTTGCACGTCCAGTGGTAACTCAAGAACTACGAAAATCACAACCCTCAAACGACCTTGACATCCACATTGTCATAGTAAGATCATCACTGTATAAGAATTGGCCTCCGAAGCCAAAACAGAGGATTAACGGTACACACAACCAACCAAAAGACGGAAACGGCTAATAAGTACCACCATAAAGTTAGCTCCACCTCAATTTGAACTTGTATTTCAAAAGAGCGCTTCCGCAGGCGACTAGAGTGAATGATCACACCCGCATGTTTATCACTACTCGACTACACAAGTGACCCTTGCAGGGGTGAAGGGCTGTACTTGACGCCGCATAAACAATGCCTAGACGCGTCGCACTACGGAACAAGAGAAGGATCTTAGTGCACTATAAAAATGGACACAGCGAGGGTTGAAACAGCCTTGTTCTAGCCACCTTTGTTTCTATTCCACTTTTCATCGTTATTTTGTATGTGATTGACCTCACCACCAACTCCAAGAGGCTTTGCCCACACACAACAGAGGGTCTTCCTGCACGTTATGCCTCCTCTTTCACCGTTACAATTTGATTTGTTGACCCATTACCCAGCGGCACGTTCCCTCGTACGTCCCGCATTGCCGGCCGACGCATCGAGGGCTACAGCACAGGTGGCCAGAAAAGACCGAGAAGGGTTCAAATCGTCCAGTCTACATTTGAGGTCCAACAGGAATAGTTACCAGCATTGAAGATTGTGATAAGGCTAAGAAGGTCATCGAACTGACGGGAAAAACCCTTAAGGTCTTATTCATCGAAAGTTGTAAGGATATAAAACCATTTTTTCTCGGACGGGGAAGTTAAGTATTCAATTTCGGGGAGGATAATGCTGCCCAATGGAACTCCGTGTTTGCATGTTCCAGCCTTCTCACAAACGCCTCCGAGGCTAATCAAAAAGGCAACGTTCTCGCGGTTGATGTTACGTACTTCTGGCAGCCAGGACGTGTCAGTGACCAGTAAAATAAGTTGACTTATTCACCCCTGCATCCTTTCTATGCGAATGTCGAATTATACGCAAGGTCTTGACACTTCAGAGGAATGATCGTTCAAGTCGACTTCTTGTTGCGGAGTGCCTGTAGCAGTGAGAGACCTTTGGAAGATGTTCGACTTCTAGGGATGAGAAGTTAGGCAAGACAGCGCACCTTTAATTGCCATAATCAACTTCCTCGTCATTCCAGATTGAGAGGGGTTATGGAAATCTTGAGCTACTCTCCGCTTTACCAGGGCCATTGCAAATACAGGATGTGTATGTGTGTGTGCCAGCTCCATACATTAAATCACCTGCACATGCGCTCTTAATGAGCGGTTGGAAGTCTCTTGAAGTTGTGAGCCAATCAGCTTTGCTTGCTCACAAGTGGTTTCACTGGTGTGACAACAAATGCACATCGCTTCGGACATCCACATCTATTTGCGACCAAGTGGAATGATTCTGTCGCAACCTGGGAAGAAATTCACCAATGAAAAATAGCGCTTGTACGAGGATGAAGTAGGAGGGCAGCTAAGATTGAAACATGGGCACAAACTGCAGCATAACTGTCTTGCGAGGAATGATGATGTGGGACATTGACGCATCTTTTCCCGAGGTATCGGTTAGCCCTGAAAGTTGGCGTAAGTTCTTGCACAGCCAGTCGCAACACGCTTTTCTCTGTGAGCATACATTATACAGTACAGATAGACATGGTTCGATCAGTCGAACGTTTAGTCTTTACGGTACTACCTACCGCCTTTCTGCTACCCTCTTCGTGCCTATCTTAAAATGTCGCATGAAATGCCCTGATGAATATGCAAGATTGTCGCCTTTTCCAGCTGATTCAGGCTTCATTCCAAAGTCTCTCAGGAGACTTATTGTTTAGCATGGAGGAACTGACTCGTGATGAAAAGTAGACCACTAAATATCCCCAATTGATCCATTATTCAGTCCGTATTCCCGAGGCCATACTTTAGTCCGTTCGGTTTGTATATGTGATACACTGCGGCTTCAATCGTTTCCAATGTAGTCCTCACTTGCCGAATGCCAAAGCAAAATCGCAGGCGCAACTACCCCTCCCGATACATCTCAATTCAACTCAAATGTGCGTTAGAAACACGATTTGTTCTTAAAAAACAACCGGGAGTAGTCAGTCTGGTAAAATTCCAATTTACAAAAGATCACAAAACACATGACCTCTCGTGCACCCTAGTTAGGATGTAGGTTGAGATAGATACTCTCCCACCCAGACCCTCACCCTCGCACTCTCCACTCCTCGATTTCTACTTCTCCAGATGATAATAATCAACTTGGCATTCACACAGGAAAAACTCATGATCACACGCGAATAAGAAGACAGTTGGGAAATAAATGTGGCATAGAAAGGCAGGTAACTAGGGATGAGGCTTGATCCCTTGCTTCTAGGGCCAAGATAGTTGCAATAAAGGTGAGCCACGCAACTGCTTTTCGAAAGGATAATACTGAGTAGAGACGATTCAATCAAACCTCACGAATTCATTTGGTTGTTCGATTCACCTAACGCATGTGATTCACCAATAGGTAATAACTGTGTTTTGGCGAGAAGGGAGGTATGGAAACGAGAACTAGATTAAATTACTATCAAACTCAAGAACTGGGGTTTAAAAACCGCCTTCCAAGTATACGATTTAACTGACTTAAAAACAGAAGATTTTCTATTAATAAAAGTGCCATGATACCAATGCTACTGATAAACAAAACGGAAACAGGCAAAGGGGAGGAGCCACAAGAAGGCACTGGTAGAAGGCCCCTTGTTAAATAGGTGATTTTGAAGCAGTCTGCTCAACGGTATTTTTTAAAAACTATAAAAATCAGTTCTGAAAGTTGGGAAGTGTAAATAGATGAGGTGCTTTCAAAAAGGTTGCACACTTTACCAGCGCTTCGAACTTGAGAACAGATGTCTACCTTTTGTCTTGCAAACCAGCAATCAATGAAGTTTACTGAAGCATGAATTCACTCTGGAAAGAAGAAAACTACGAAATCCATGCAACAATTGAAAGAAAAGAAGCAACAAATATCGCCGACTTATAGGTAATCACGCCGCCTCTAGATAGGCAAATTTGAAATTCTTAACCTGTCGCATGCAAAACATCATCAAAGGAGTTACCAGATTCTCTGCCCCAAATTTAAGCCTATCATTACTGAGGTCGTTAGGGTCGTTTTCTCGCAAAAAATTCATGCAGCCGTTTCAAGAGACTCCACCGGAGTTAACTGTTTTTTAGCGAATAGGCAACCAGGTCTCCGACTATATCGCACCCGTCGATTTTTGGATCGCTTTTAATCTTAATAAATTACAGTAGTTTAGAATATTAAACCCAAAAGGGGTTCTCAGCCTCAAATGATGGAGAAGCTTAAGTGTAATGAAGCTTGAATTATGTGGAGCACCAAAATATTTTCCGAGGACTTTGGTGGCACCCAAATGGTTCCTACCCAACACGCAGAATTTCCACGTAATGTAAGTTAACTGCGAAATCTAAGCCGGACACGTACCAACAGGCAATAGTACTGCTACTCACAACCATGATGAATAACAAAAAAAGCACTGGGGGTCATTCCACAAACTTACCTATTTTTCTTCCTAAGCATCAGTCTCCAAACTTTTCTGTAATCACGATATTGACTGTATCTTAGCAACATGGAAAATTAAATTGAAAAATCAAATGAAAGAGACATTCTCACCACGTGTTCGGCCGGCATCCTGCATTTGGATTTTAAGCAGTTCCATGGGAGTTGTAACGATAATTTGGCACAAACCGGCGCCACCACCAGCAATCATTTCTCGAATTGGCGTGAGAGGGACCCTCGAAATGTAGAGGAAAGGGTAAAGTCTAGCTGGTCCTTATGCACTATGAGACCAAACAGGATCGTACTGTTTAGTCGCAAATATCGCAAAGTACATTGTTGTAGTGAACTGACACACATCAATTTCAAATTCTAGTGCACGGACCCTTCCATTTTCGCGCAATTTGACATTCACAATAATGACAAGGAGGCGTGTTCGCACTGCTCATATGATAATAATCTCCCTTAAGACATCTTCGAGAACAGTTCCAACACATTCTAATCCTGGTAGAAAAAAGTTTCAACACTTACCGATTACACTAAAGCAAGCGAGATCAAGGGAAATAACAGTAACCATTCGTGCCAAGAAGTGTTGTATTGGCAATTCTGCCTTGCAAATAAACAATCCTTAGTTTGGCATACATGTTATCAGTCCAGAGCGGGGACGAATACAAAGTGGATACAGCAAAGAGATGCTACGAGAGCGCAAACTCATTTCTATTGACATTCGTGCCTCATGACAAGAACTAAATACTCATTGTCAAGAAAGGAATAATGGCAATTTATGCGAAGACAGCTTACGTAACTTCTTAAAATATAGTTAAGTTCTTAGATTTTACTAAACCAACCTATAATCTATGGTTATGAGCAAAAATAGACAAAAAAACCGCAAGTCTGCTGACGAACTGCACATTAGATAAGGAAATTTAGTAATATTAAATCTGTCGATGTATCAGTGTGTACGCTATGAATTGAAATGTCGAGAAATGCAGGCCCTAAAGTGGCATAAAAGTGTACAAGCAAACATCAAGGAAAAACGGATAGAAAATTGGTAAGACTCACCCTTCTGTCTTCAAATGATATCGGAAAAAATCATTGCCAACCAGTTTGATGGCCTTTTCGGGGGTGATGAGAAGTAGATTAACGCCAGATCCTGACGCAAAACTCAAAATAATGTTGACACATGCGCAAAAGGAAAAGTTGGACAAAAGTAGAAAACACACCTCTATACATTCCAAAAAATCCGTCAGACCGATAGGTTTTTCTTGCGCAATCGAGGCTAAAATTTTTGAGCAGTAAAATTAGCTGCTAACACTTATCAGATTCCTGGTATATAGTTCCTAGTATTTCAAAGAATTAAGATTAATATATTCAACAAAAAAATAGTTAATAAGCAGAACACCGCTTGACCCAAGACCCAGAAAAACATTTACAGGAAAAATCAGATTTCCAATCGAGTAGCAAAAAAGCTACCCAAATAAAACGAATGAGGCAAGCTGTATAGTACACTCACATATTCTTATACATTATTACGCCTTTTTGCTGATTCTGTAGTCGTGTTTTCACCAAATCGATGGGAAATACGCATGAAACACCGACAATTCCTGCGATACCACCATTTATCACTTTGGGCACAAGACTAAACGTGTAGACATATTACAGAGTCATACGAAAAACTGGCATCCCGATCCCATTGCTTTTTCTCAGGCATATCTTACAGGGGGTTTGTGAGGTAAATTACGAAAAAAGATACGACTCGAAAACCGGCGGAGAACGAACAAAACGCCCAAATAACTGACCGATGAAAGTAGATAGGCGCCTTACAAATCAAGAACTTAAACAAAAAAATGTGCAAAAATTATATGCAAAAAACAAAAAAAATAATATATGAAAATTTAATAAAAACTATACAAAAAATTTTGCTTTTTTACTGAAATTGCTTCAAAAACTTGTTGTTTCTGTGTTAGCATAATCAGATCCCCATTTTTTTCGTACTTTTTAACCGTGCTGCGTGTTCTGTGCAAATCCAGCCCAACCTCACATTTTTTAAAAAAGTAATTTTTTAGAGGCAAAATTTTGTTTTTTCTAAATATTTGTATGTAGTTACCAAGCGGTTTCCCCAAAATGGTTATAGGAAATAATATGTTAAATGATTAAATATTGACACCTTGAGAATTTTTGAAGTTGTAAGTGGCCATCGATGTAGCGTCTCGAGACTTCCCTGAAGACAAAAGAAGACACAATACTCGGGCAGAATATATATATACAGCATGGAGAAAGGCTGCTGGCATGGCCCGAAGGCCAGCCCACCCAGCGAGGTACAAGTAGGCTAATTCAAAGTACAAAAGTGGTACCCCACTAATTCCAAGGGATAAACCACCGTCCTTTTTCAATAAAAGTGTAGGAGGGAATATATTTTTCTGACGTACAGAAGTACTGAAGCTACTGGCATACTCAGGACCTATAACTCAGTTTGAAAATACAATATGTGGATAAATAAGCGCCAGCGCAATTAATATGTTATCAAAAAAGAAAAGATAAAAGGCCTTAATATGACCTGTGAGCCATTATTCGTTGTAAAAGTTTGACAAGCTTGCACCTAATTGGTCGTGTGATTAAACAAAACAGCAAATCACCTCACTACAGTTTATGCTAAGTATACTTTTATTCGGTGGATTTTTATTTTTCCTCATTTAATATCGCTGTAAAGTAGCGCCTTGAGACTTCCTTGTCGACGAAAATAAACATAATACTCAGCCTGGGTATATATGTTCGGCATAGAGGTATTCGGGCTACTGATATGGCCCCAAGGCCAGCCCACCCATCGAGGTACAATGGCCAAGACAAACTGAGAGTTAAACAATCATCGTATTATAGTAATCCAATATGTGAGTTTCACTGAAGTTTGTCTACTAGGATACTTTTCTTGCAAGTTCTCAATAATTTTAAACCGAACATCCCTTGTTTCTATGAAAATGCCCACTTTCGCCCTTGAGACAAAGACATTTCAGAGCTACCAATTCTGGCAAAAACTAAGGAACTTTTCCTTAACCGGTGGCCAATTTTGAAGGGAGCAAAGACTGACGACAGGAAAGTCGTGCCATCAACTAGGGAATGGTGGCACGTGGTCGAGGTGCTACTACCAATCTTCGGGTCGTCAAACTGCATCAGTGCACTCGAAGAGGGTCCTAACTTGACGGCATTTTTGTTGCAAATGAAAAGAGGGCACTGTGACAATGCAAGTTATTCATCGCTGCTAATCACCATAGAAATGTTGCCTTCGAGAAAAAACTTCCGTTTAAATCGTTTGTGACGCGCACTTTGGAATTTTGCCCATCTGTTTAATTTTAGATGATCTGCTACTTTTAAATATATGTAAGATTTGCAACTGCATTTTGCTTGCATTTTTTTCGTATCAGAGGTCGGAAAATGGATTTCAAGTATGAGCTTGTGGTGCTTTACACTTTCTTCTTCATAAGTATTCTTTTTAGCATTTTTTAGAGCTTCTTAATTCAGATACTGACTGTTAGCTCAATCCTGAAGTCCCAAAAGTCACTTATTGTAGTTCCTAAAAGTGTTTTGGGCTTATTTCACTCTCTCAAGGCGTGTCTCTTGTCCTACGCCCACCACACCACTCCCTTCAATTGCCAGACCTCTTGATTCCCTCATAGATAACTCGGTGACAGAGCTGCCATGTCAGCGTGACCCCACTCCCACGGACGCACACATCTGCCCACAATGCATGGCGTGGGGAGTGATGTCGTAACCTCCTTTGCGCGGAAGGACACCGCGACTACCTTCACTCGACATGTCGGAGAGAAGTCGTCGCATACCCCCCAGATGCGATCATTTCGTACTCCGCTAGCCGTCCCACATGAGGGATACAAGAGCAAGGAGAATATTTGTTCCTCCACTATTGCATAAAGGTCATGAACTAAAGCTGTTTGTGGGAGAGCATTGCGAAAGTTTACATATGATCTGATGGCAACTGAGCCACAACGAAGGAACATCCAAGATCAAGTGCGGAAACTACGGCCTCTCCAAATCCTGTCATGATAGACAGAACCCAGAATTAGGCCGAATTTATTATTCATAAGCTTACGTTAATAGCTTATAAGATATAAGAAACCAATCCGCGGCATATTCGACAGCACTTTAAGTCGATAATTGCAAAGCCTACGCCAAATCAGCCACCCCAGTTTAAACAAGATATTTGTCAACTATTGACCTTCTTAAATATCTGATTTTGCACAAACCACATAATTTATCAGTATGTTTATTATTAAATTACCTCAAAAAAGTAGACGTCGAAATGTTGTGTGATGTTTAAGCTTTTTACTAAATATTAGTTTTTAATTATTCTTCCAATATATCCTTTTTGTTGTCGAGTTTCATTTCCACGAAGTTTTGGAGATTTTTATTGTTTACTTAAATTGGCTACGGTAGTTTAGACGAAATAAGTTAATACCATTTATTTACAAGTATATATTGAACTCAATATTATACATAGTTTACGCTAACAACACGTCACTTTTAGAATATTTGCTGGTAATTAAGTAAGAAAAATAATGTTCGTAAAATAATGTGGAAATGTCACTCAGTTCTGGCAAGTGGGGATCCAATAATGCATACATTTATCGCCGATTTCCTTTAACATGCAAAATTTGCCAATGACTTGGATAATACAATCGAAGCTTTGAAAGCCTTTGTTAGCAATATTGTTTAAAAAGTTCCTGAATTTTAGAAAAATGCACAAGCCATCCATTAATTTCACCGTAACTCCTCATATGAAGCCATAGAAAATTCCTAACCAACAAAATAGCCCAGAACAACATCTCGAGTGTGGGTGCATGATCTTTTCTCTTAAAAAAATCAATCATTTTGACAAATTAAAACAACTGTCGTCTCGTCTTCACCTCACCACTGATCTCGTACTCGCAGGCGATACCATAGTGACTGGGTGGGCAGATGCATCTGCAGACATCGACAGTATTTCGTGGAAGAATCATGATGCCATTGTTGAGACAGGGTCGCATACAATGCACCACTTCGTAGATAAGGCGTCTCAAACGCTCGGTTGCACCGTTCCCCGTCAGTGGTAGCAGCATGACCCGTTTCCTCACTCCTAAGCCCTCCTCCACACCATCTAACCCGAGATCCACGTCCACTAGGGACTCCTGAGCTGTTGAAGACCCATCGAATCCCTTCGACTGACTGGTTAGAAGCGCGCTGATGACAAGGATCTGGAGTAACATATTACCGTGAGTGGCCGTGCTATTGTGTTTGGACGTTGTTATACTCCCACCACGGACCAATGGCGGGCAGGGAAGGGGGATAGGAGGGTTACTAGTGGTCAGGATCTAAAGCAAGATTGATGATTTAGTGGGATCTGAGAGGTGTCACTTTGAATTGCGTCTTAATTTCATCTAACCAATCGATTTCGTTTATCTACGGTCCATTCTATCAATGCCAGGCTTAAACGAAAGCGTTTGTTGTTTTACTTGGAGTCAAAAATTCAACCAAATGCATTGTTACATTACAGTTTCATAGAAAATTAAACGCACGTTAACACGTGTCACAGATATGTGACAAACGTTCCTATTAATTTGTGATCCCTCTAGTAAAATAAACTGATAAATATACAATGGTTTTCTTATTTAAGGAACAAAAGCACAGTTTTTTCTTTAATTTTTATGGTAGTGGGCTTTGGTCTGAGCCCTTGCCCTTAGAGGAAGTCCTCTGAATTCCACCTATTTATTGTTCAAAAATAACCGATTTTCTTCACATTTGTCTTGTCTAAAATTGTGAAAATAAAGTGCAAACTCATGGGGCATAAAATTCTCTTTCGAAGTGGTGCAGAACATGCAAATCCGAAGATGTCAACATGGCCGACGTTGAAAGGAGAGGTAATAAAGTCGAAAAACTCGTGAAGATGCGAGCAAAAAATCAAAAGAAAGGCGTAAATTTATTTTGTAAAAAAGATGTTCTTTCTTGGGGGTATAAATCTGTGAGATATTAATTTTGCGCGAAAAATCTGTGTTATAGCGGTCAGAGATAATGACAGATGGTGGGTTTAGTCACCTCCAAAAGACGAGAGCGAGATTAACGACAACAGTCTCGTCGATGAAAGCCAAAAAGGAAGTTTACTAAAAGCCGAAGAGTACTCTCCGTCTTTTTTTTCACTTTAAAAGCTTTTTAGTCCTCAATAAAAACTACTTTATTTTTACAGTCGGATTCATCCCCTAAAAAGCCTTAGAGCCTTGCTTTCTCTAGTCACCCTAGAGAGGGCATGGTGGCGTATTCGGGGGGCGAAGTGGAGATTTTCCAGGCGGCGAAATTGAAGGCATCACTGCGTAGACTGAATGCTTGCGCGTCCACCTCGATGGTCTCTGGCTCATTAGCCCTACCCGCTGACCGCCTTGATGATAATGCATGGATGTGGTAAAATCACCTTCCGCATAGGTGTTGAATGCGTAGTCCGTGTTTTTTGGGATGGGCCACCCAAGCCCGTGTGCAGTGGATTTGAGCGATGCCCTATTACTGAAGTTTTCATTTCATGTCCTAAGTGGCTCTGATAACAGCGTCGAAGTCGATGCACTCGGGATTGGAGAGACGGGCAGGAAATAGACAATCTCACGATACAATAAAGTTCTGAGTAAAAAGAAGTCCTGCTGAATGAAACTTATTGTCTTTACCAGGTAAAGCGTTTCTAAAATTTACTTATCTCATTAATTATGATTAGGCAAAGAGGTGATTCAAATTGCCTCCATCGCTCAAGTTCGAGCTAACAATAGATATAAATACACATTATGCTTGTCAATTAACCTTCGACTAGTAGATGGATGGAGCCAAAATATATAAGTTGATGGACAAAATCGGGAAAGATGAATTTCGATAGGATGGACGCCGGATGAATGGGTGCGATATGGATGAATACGGGCTGGTAGGGTGCAAGGATGGAGTGATGGATACCGAATGAATGGATACGGGTTAGTTGGACGGATAGACGGGTAGGTAGACAGATGGATATGGATGGATGGATGCAAGACGGAGCATAGGTAACCAGGTAAGCGAATATCAAAAGAAGTCTTCTCTCAAATTTATTATGACACATTTAAAATGCCTTACATTACATAAATGGTTCAATCCAAGGCTCAGCAAATGATCGTCTACTAAATAAATATACTCATTCTGTTTATGTACATGCTTTTGTGGCTTTGTGGTGGATTTTTACACATCCTCGTCTTCGAGAGGAATAATACCCTCCACACCTTCCCGCTCATCCCACTCCTCCATTGATTCATCCTCCACGGGGTCCTTCACGTAGAGATAACGAGATCGCGGCTTTCTTGGCATTTCCGCAGTAACCACGGTTAGAGAATCCGTTCTAGAAGGTTCTCTATGTCCTGGTTCAGGACCCAGTTGACCTCGTCGGGAATAGAGTGAAGTAGGTTGCAGGATAAACGAGGGATTATCTATGGGTGGTGGAGGAAGATGGTGTGCATTTTGAACAGGAGGATAGGTAAATGGGGCCGGGGAGTAGACCAACTCCACGGGACCTCTCAATTCATCCGGGCAGCATAGTCCACACAATGAAGTTCCACGTGGCGAAGAGGAAAAATAGAAGAAGTAGAGTTGAAGGAAGATGGCGCCAATCCACTGGACTGTTACCACAACTAGAAGAGCTGGGAGGTGGTACCATGATGCAGTGAAGGGGTAGGCCGCATACCAAGCACCAATCATTGCCGAGTTCTCCAAGTAGTAGGTAAAGTAGTAGATTATCACTCGCAGGCGAGTTTTACCTGCACTACCGTTGAAAAAATCAAAGATACTGACGTAAGTGTAGAGCAGATCCGTACCCAAGTGCCGTAGAATCCCTTTGGTCTATTTTGGACAAAAAAGAAAGCATTATTTGTTGTGTAAAGCACGCTCTTGTTATAGCAAAGCTTGCGGGGGCGGGGGGGAAGGGAGCTGCTGATGAAGTGGTTGTATTGTTTATCACCTTTTGTATGAGGTTACAATCGTGATTATATCGCTTTTGAAAAAAAATTAAACAGCAGACCCGCTTTATGTGGGTTCCAACAAGGGTGGATGGCCAAACCAAACCCTGAAGAAAGGATCACTGGAAAAATGAGTGCTTTTGCAGTTAAGGGGATGGATGAATGAGTGGATCGACAAATAAAAAATGAACGGTTAACTCTACAGACATCTGGATCGCGCACTAACCTTAAGCCGTTGATCCAACGGTCTCCCATAGTTTGGACTTGCTTTATAGGCAGATGACAGCATTCCTTTGCTTCCTCGATAAACCAGTAGTAAAAGAAGATAGAGTACTTGATGCACAACCACCACCACCGCAAGTAGCCAATAAAAAATCCCAGTAAAGAGTGTGAAGGTGATCATCCGTATGGTAATATGGAATCCCCGTGCAAAGAATAGTAGAATCCGTCCACTGGCTGAGACTAGGTGTTGGTGCCGATGTGCCGGTAGACGAAGAAGTTCAGCGCAGGATAGGTAGTGTGCATCTGGCTGAAATTGACACGCCGCCGAGGTTAGCCAGAGGATGGAAAAGATGAAGGCGGCCAGAATAGCACCCGCTGTAAGGGAAGACAATGCAGTGACAAAAGCTGGCTGTGCTCCCGCACCGATCTCTGATCCTGGTCTCTCAGTCCTTCTGCACGAAATAGTACTTCTTAGACCACCTCAGGGTATTAATCAGGGCAACTGGTAATCGTGGGCTCTTTAACCGACAAAATGTGTTCAAAAAACCGAGTCCCTATTTATGGGATAATGGTATTTTAAAGTAACTTACCTACTTAAATAATAATAAGTAGAAACGCGGCAACTTACAGGTTGAATTGGGCATCATGCGGCTGAGCATGAGTCGACGCAAGTACAGCACACCCTGGGCTATTGCAAAGGGTCCAGCGCCAAGACTGGCATTCGCCAACGCCACAACACAAGCATCAAAGTCAAATTCAACAAAGAGACGACGTAGTCGGTGCACGTTTTCAAGCTCTCGAGCAGTCTCGTCAACGTCAGCTGGTTCTAAAGTCGATAGCTGAGTGATTGTCACTTTGTTTGAAAAAAAAGTGGAATTTCCACCCATTTTGCCCAGGAAAGTGGACGGTTCCATATAAAAAAGAGATTTTGATGCTCTTGCCATGCAGTTGATCACACAGAGCCGTCTCATCTCCTTTGAAGCGTCAACTTGGAGCTCTGTCCATATTTAACCCCGCTACACGCCCCTCAGCCCCTTTGCACACCCGCTATTGCCTGCAGGGACATTTCAGGTGCTAGCAAATCAACTTACACGACACCTGGAGGTTATCAGCCTTATTGAATCAAAAGCCCACATACGTTGTTTTAATGTTCAATTAACCGGAAAGCGTCTCTTTAAACAACCTTCATTGCAACCTTACCCTGGGGATTTCTGGGGAGCGCGTCACGATACTGGGATTGGGAGTTTTTGGGAGGCGATTTGACCTCCTTGGCGTGACTCCTCTCCAGCCGACTTAGACGCCTGTAAATTCCCAGCAGCTCCACGTATCTAGGATGGTTAAAAAGCAGACCAGCTTAAGCAGATCCTGTATTCAGGAGTGACTCAATTTTCAATGATTCCACCATCTCTTGTTGTTGATGATGATGCTGACGATGCCAGCCGCTATTTTTGTAGTTCACTTCTGACTGGTCATGTGACACCTACTGTATCCCACTGTAAAAATCCATGGGACAAATTAGCCGCTTTGTATACCCATTGTGTGCACACAGAGATTCTGCTCTTGTAATTCTCTACTTTCTATAGCAACCAGTCAACTACTTGTGCGTATCGTGGCAACGAAAAACTGGGGGATTACTGCTGTCCTTCTTTTTGCTTGCACATTAAATTTTTTGTGATGATAGGAGATTTAAACAGGGAGATTAAGGCCAAAATTTTATTTTTTTTTTCTCCAACTTGGAAATGGATTACAAAAGCCCTTCACTTTGACCCCAAAGCTACTGAAATAGGCGGGGGGGGAGTTGGTTTTGCAGTGATTAGATGTTTCGTTTAACTAAGCGGACAATTTAATTCCCGCAAATAGTACCTCCACTCCGTGACGTGGCTTTCGGGTCCCACCAGTAACCGCTCAGGCATCTGTTTGCAGTACATACTACTCATTACGACTTTAGCGACCAGTTAAGATACTATAGGTTCAACACTGTAATTTTACTTTTTTTTTTTCAGTTCTCAATAAAGCTCCTTCAAAATTTCCTTCGGGAGACAATACTCTATAACATAAATCCATGAGTATTACTTTATTGTGCTGTATAGCAACGACATCTGATTGCTTCTATATTTGACTTTGTGAGCTCTTCAGTAGTCACGGGTTTTACTTCCCACTGGGCCTATCTAAAGCCTTCTAGTTCGTCTGCTGTAGGGTATTGCAATTTCAGGAGCTGATTTGGTGGCAGCAGTGGGCCAGAAGGCAGTGTGTGCTGTGAACCTTTTCCTCCACTGGGAGTCACTTCTGAAGGCTACAACAGTCACTTTCATTCCGAAGTTTTGAGTCTTTGGCTCTACTTTGGGAAGCTAGTATAAATGATGCGCCTTTCCAAAGATTTCCTAGTGCATCACAAATTTTAGGATCTAATATTTCCTCACTTTACTTGGGCGCTTGGTTTGTGAGATTATCCTCCGGTTTGTCCTTTCAATAGAACTGACTACGTTACAATGGAAGAAAAGAGAAGTGACCCACACACTGGCACCGAGGATCACGCTCAAAGGGGAAAAGGAGGGCTATGTGGTGACATGGCACAGTTAACTAGGCGGTTCCCGTATCCTTTTTAATGGGCTGATCTTCAGCCCACGGTAATAGCTTTCTCAGTCCTTCTCTTTGCTATGGGTAGGCCTTCTAAGAAGACTTGAGACGCTACACTTCATTGACTTCCGTGGGTTGATTACAATTGCCACCTTTCTACGCCACTTTAAGCAGGTGCAAATAGAGGGTGGAAAATATTTGCTTCATTCACTAACACTTTAAAAATAGGCAGTTTTCATGTGTCAGGCACTTTCTGTAGCTCCAAACTCTTATTGTCGCACTTCTGGCTTTTTTAAACAAAAAGTCATCAAAAACTGCCGAGGTATCGCCTTCTCCTCCGCCTTTGTAATCACCTGATCATTTCTTGCCAAGTAGTGCTTAGAAGCCGCTCTTGACAGGTGGAAAAGTGGGAAATAGGAGCATGATTGAAGAGCCGAGATGATGAGGCCGCGGTGGAATTCACAGCTAATCTGCGTGTCTTCTTCGAAAATGACTGTGGGCTGCAGTGGTCATCACTACACCGAATTTCCCAGAGAAATTTATTCATTTTAATTAACTCGTACCTTGACTACCATTTGATAAAGGGTTAGAGAAACGCCGACTTGTAAATATCTCGTCTTAGTTCATTTAATTCGACCCAAAGTCAGCTGCGCCTACTTCATTGTGCCAAACCAGCTCCATCTGTGAAGTGAATTTTTTTCGCTCATGGCTCTCTACTCATACCTGTCGAAGGTAATGGAGAGAAAAGCGTAAAGGACTAACCGTGCAATCGGAGCCATGCCAATCAGGGAAAGGGCGGCTCGCGTGCAAATCCACGCCTCGTGATTCGCCTCACCCGTCTTTGATCGAGTTCGTGTCTCCGCGCTCCTCCAACGGCGGTAGAAGAGAACCGAGGTCACCACTCCAGTGGCTGTTTGAAGCAAAAGAAAAAAAATAAAATGTTTACTTACACGACACCTTTGCAACTTGACTAGTGGATGCGTCATGGGTTCTTAGCAGCCTAATTTGTCGAAATTTTTTTTGCAAAAGTTTTATTAGTTTGTTTTGAAATATTAGGAGGTAAAGAGCAGCATATTCAATTTATTGAGAATGCCTTACTTTGAAAATTATGCCATCTGCTTTGTTCCACTAAATGCTTCCAGACCTGACAAATAAAAAATGTGCTTGGGATGAAAGAGGATGGAGGGAGAGCACGGGTAGGTTTGTAGGTAGGTGGGTTAGTAGGTAGTGAATGGAAGGATGGAAATACAGCACCGTCTTCATGCTCCACCTTGGGACTTGCATTGAAAAGCCAAATGATCAAATGCAGAGTAGAAGGGACAGTTGGGAGATAAATGTGAGGCACAGACAGAGAAGGTGAGGACTAGATTTTGTTGTTGGCTTCTGGAGGCAAAGCAGGTTGCGATGGTAGAATTTTTCGACTTGTCTTATAGACACTGATCCCCTCTCGCCCCCTTCCCCCTTTAAATCTAGGCAAATACATAAATACCTTCCCCCACCCGATCTCCGCGATCCCAAGGGTCTAAAATTGAAGGCAAAAACACAAAAACAAAACATCCCATACATCCCACTAGTATCGGCGTCAGCTGATTTTCCACCCTTTCCAACGAACATTTACTCAGACAAATGGCTCAGGCGCGCTCAATCTAGCTACTGCTTCCCCCTCACTCAACACCATGGCATACACGCAGATCAAGCTCTTTTTCTGGATTTGTGTAGTTGAGAAGAGGAGAGGGTGAAACACTTCGAATACACACAAGTATACTCACTGGTAGGTTACTTTAACTGCCGTTTAAAAGGCAGAGAATACGAGTTAATTATTCATGCAGCAAGCAATTTAAATGAGTCTAAAGTAACACGATAGATCAACCGCAAACCCACACCATCTGCGGAAGGCACCCATTTAAGGAGTGTTGACATCAATTTCGCGAGAGGTTCTCTTTCTCTTCCTTTTGAGAGCTAGGAGGCTCCAGAAGGAGAGACAGAATTTAATCTTTGAAATAACCAGAATGCTGCCATCCTCCACCAGCCTTTCATAGAGGGAGGCAGGTGTATGAATATCAGCTTTTGCTTCTTGAAGCACACAGCCTAACCCTAGTCACTTTGACACTATTAACTGAGTACTTAATGTCTAGAGAATTTGGTGATAATGAGGAAAAGGAATGTTGGGCAGAGGAATACGAAGGAGGAGGGGAAAGAGGAAGTTGGAACAACAACCTCATCCTATCTTTTCACAGGCTAGTTGTGTGACGGCAGGAGGTATGACAAATTGATGGACCTTGAAACTTACTGCCAACTGTTAATGGATAAAATGAAGGGTCTACTTGAATGGCTTTCATCACGACTACTCCCTCCCAGTTGATGTAAACGTCAAGAAGTTTTCTTGTCAAGTAGGTGAAGCGTCACCGAAAGCTCTACACAGTACTTTCATCTTGACAACCAGAGTGACTAGATGATCCGTTTCCTAAAGTCACATTACAGCTGTGCTCTTCGGCAAGGCAACAAAATTGACAAAGAGAATGTGGCCTTGATAGGGGAGACAAAGTATAAGGGGTACTACCATTTGGACAGAAGCTATGAAGTACCATCTATGTGTGTGGGGAAGAATTACGTGGAGCTCCCCACCTGAGTGACCAGGTGGCAAAGACACCAGTCTGGACGTCTTTGCTTGGTGACGTAAAAACCCGACTCCCACCCCAATCTGCAGACAAGTGAAGGAACGAAAGAACCACCTAATAAGGTGTTTAGCCAGACGACGGTGTGACAAACACGCTCATGGGTGGATTAGTAGGTTGACTGAGCGGTTCTGTCCTGGCAGGTTACCTATTAATGAGCTGAACTGGGTCGTTCTTTAGCATTTGCGGTGAGGGTAGGCAAACGTTGCAACCAAAGTTGGATCGGCACAACCGGTGGTAAGAAGGCAAGCATAGAGTGATTCTACTAGACCTCTTAAGGCTCCATTCATGCAAAACCACCTTACTGACCATTCATCTGGCCTCCAAACTGTTTTACATAGCTATATCGACAAGAGAGGCCGATTTAACAAGATAGAGATATCCTGAATGGCATGGGCGTTTGATGTGGTAAGAAAGCATCTGTTAGGAATGGTATGTTTGCAGTAAAACACTACAAAATGGTTTCTAGAACACCTTTGCCAAAAAGGCAGTTAACAAGAGGAGCGACACCTCCACCCTTCTGAGTGGAAACCGGATAGTCTGCTGGGTGGCAAGGAAATGGTACCAAAGGGATAACGGGGCGTCGACGCAAAACACTAGCGCCATAAAGCTGTCTCACCTTCTACCTGATTAATTGACCCCATTTTGGAAATTTTTTTTGTTCAATTCATGATTGGGATATGAAATGCACCCGTAAAAGAGCATCGCTTAAACCTGAAAGGTAGGAGCCCAGTGACATCTTCTTCCATAGTGCCGCGCACAAAGGTGACAGAGTTACAGGTGCATAAAATTTGACAATGATATAAAAATAAAAGCCTTCCATCCTCCAAGAAGTGCCTAGTGATTGGTTTAATAAGCACCGATTGCGTCCTGGTAGGGGAAGTAGAAGAGGGACCATAAGAAGGGATGAGGTCAATGCTCAAAATAAGAAAGGGGGCTGTGCAGTACTATACATAACTGTTTAAGCCGACTTATAATGAAAAGCGACTTTTGTGCTTTTCTATTCTCGAGTTTATTAGGCAAGCAAAGTTATGCAAGGCCTCTATAGCTTTTCAATTCTGTGTTTGATTACGGGGGAACTTAAATCTCTAGTGATTGCGCTTTCCATAGAGGGCACGAACTCTGAGTCAAACTGATAACCTCGGGTCTTCTTTACCTCAGCAATGTGTCTTCCGCCCGGACATCAAGAAAGACTCGGGCCACCACAGTTATTTCACAGTAATTCAGGCACTTTCAATCCCACTTATATAAAACAAGCAACACTTCATCCTCAGTACCCTTCAGATGTTATTGTTAACTTACTGAAGGTCAAACATCAATTAAATCTAAGTTTCATGCACTTGCCGCATAAAAACTTCAAGACGGACAAAAACCCCTCTATAATGCAGCCTGAGCTAGTAAATAGGATAAAAGGAAGCCCTTTTGATTATGGCAAGCTAATTTAGGAATTCGTGCTCCAAGTCTCACCACAAAGAAAATTTGGGCTCTAAGCAGTTGCAACCATATGGCAGACAAGAAGGCCATTTGGGAAATAAAAGTGGGGCAGTACCGGACGTAGACGGAGCAGAATTTGGTTTTTTCCTCCATAAATTAAGTAATGGATAAAAATAGAGCTTGCAACTAGTCTACACCTCAATGAGGAAGGCTTATCAACTAAAGTGGTGGTTATTTTAAAGAGCTTTTGATATTCATTTGGGATTTTGACAGAAAAGCACTACTAACTTTACTAGCAGTCACCGTAAATAAATTAAAGCGTTTAAATCAAGTGTATGGAATAATTTAGTCCGTTTGTTTTTGTTCCAAAACAAAGTCGTTCTTGTTTTTGTTTAAAGTTTCACACATAGCCTTTAAGGGCATAAATAGTACGTCTTTGAAACAGTGAAAATAGGAGAAATTTTTCACTCATTTTGGGAAATATTCCTGAGATGCAAAGCCAGTAAAAGCCCTTTAGGTTTCAATAACAATTTTGCTTTCCCCTTTTGCCAAACACTTAGCTTGCCTGATAGGAAAGGCTTAGAAAAAGTAGTACGCTTACAGTACTAACGTCTTACTGCGGCCTTCTTTTTAGAAATGACTTAAAGAATGGTTACGTATATTTGCCTGATGGCAGTTCTGCGCAGTGATTTTTTCACAACCATAAATATGTACAGATATACCCCCAAAAAGCAGAAGTTTCATTTTGTCTATTTTCTGGGACCTTTCCCAAATAAAATGCCTGTGATGGGTAGGACACTGCCGCCGTCTAAGTGCTTTACTTACAAAATGCACACAAAGTAGTGTGCGCATGTATAAATTGGCTGAAGTGCTTGTGAATTGCAAGAGAGCGGGTATGAATCACGAATGTTTCGTGCTGTCGCCAGCAAAAAAACGATCTTTATTCCAATCGCACATACCCCGTCAATAAAATTTGCCTCAACAAGTCAAAGGAAAACAAAACCACTTAGAGGAGATCATGACTTGATTTTTTCCGTCTTAGGAGGATATCTGCTTTGGCGGTACTAATCGGTGGTGCACATATTAAAGACTGATTCAATGCAGGCATCGTTGATCAAGACACCAGCTAACTGCAGTAAATGCTCCTGCCAATGGATGGGCAAAGCCCAAATTTGTGGATATTTACTAGTATGACAGTACGTATGTTGGTAAATGTGTTGGTGATAGTGGTGATAAACTCTCTTTGTTTTACTAACGATGAGATTATCATGGGAAAATTCAACCTACACCACAACAGTCATTACCGTTAACATTCAATCAGCACAAAGCACCCATTATGGTGAAACTACAAAAAAATGCGTTTTTGCACAAAATAGGAGCTTTCAATCATCCACGCTCTCCCACAAATCCAAAATTTAACGTACGCTCTAAAAAGATGGTTTAATTATATACCAGAACGCCTTGAAATGGTGGTCTAAAAAAACTAAAGCCAGGAACATAATGAGGAGCCATGTTGGAAAGCAGGCTGTTTTCACCTTATAATTCCCTTTTTAGTGTTATAAAACGGAATTAGTTCTACCTAATCGCACTTTGCACTGCCATTCCACCAATCAGATTTGTTCATTAAGTCTGATGGGGATCGAATATGTCCATCAAGGTGCCGGAAAGAAGTAGGGGAGTAATCACAGCATATGACAAAGTCAGAAGTTTTGCAGTCAGTTTGTGGCATTTTTTTAAAAAAATTAATCGCTTCAGCATTTCACTGTAATAAACTAATCCTCATAACGGCACTATTTCCCCAAATGCAAAATAGCACAAAAAGGAAAAAAATGCCAAGTGTGAATCATGAAAACAATGTCAGATGATTCTATTAGATGAAACTGTAAGCATTAAATAAAGTTCAAATAATTCGTTTCTGAGCCAAATCAGAAAACTAAACATTTGATTAATTTAAAATAACCGTGATGAGATTAATACCTAAATTAAAAGAATTACTTATAAAAAAATTTCAGCACCTCATTGCAAGATTTACAAAGCATTTTCAAGTCGGAAACTTTATTTATCCTTATCAAAACAGCACTTAAATCATTGCCATTGCAACAAACATATACACTATACTTATACTTATATTAGAGCATTTTATTGCCTATTTATATATTTCAAATGTAACTTGTCTCAGCAACAATGAGTTGAATGTTTCGTGCACTCATAAATCATAAAATTTATTTGTTCCAATGTATGCTACTGAAAGCCAAAAATGCTTTCCAACAGGGTAAGAATAAGCTGTAAGTTCCGAACTTGTACCACACTCTGTCTTTAAAAGCAGCCAAATTTAGTCCTAACCACCTCCGTTTCAATTAAGCACACTGATTGGAGCTCCTTCTTGACACAAGGCTTTACTTGCGCATGTTTGAGTGGAATCCAGTTGTACAAAGTAAGAAAATTTAAGCTGTACTTGCTAGTTTGCATTTAAAAAGCAAAACATGAGCGTCTATAGTGCACTGAAAGAGGTCTTTTAAATACGACGCGGTGCTTGCTCCAGAAGCATGGGGCAGTAAGTGCATTTCTGACTGTAAACCAAAATGTAATCGTTTTCTTGGTACATGCTGCAAAAAGGTCACTTCTCTTCGCATTTTAAACACTTAGTAGGTCATCAATAAGGGTTTCTCAACGATGGCTTACCCTTCCAAATTGAAGCAGATGTGACCGAACTCTTTCACTGCTCGAGTAAAGCATTACAAATGTGCCAAATTTAAATGGATTTTGTAGTAATAACGAGTAACTCTAAGCACAGTGCATAATTTTTAATGATTCCTGGCCAAAAACGTGTTTCTAACTAATGTTGTAATCACACACTTTGCTATCGTGTCTTCACAAATGCTTCGTATTTGCTTTCCAAGAAAAAACCTAATCAATTAATGTTTGTATAAATATGTTGATAAATAAGCAAGCTAATGAATAACTAAATAAATAGCAAACGCACCGAAGATGTTACCAAATGCCAATATTCCAAGCGATACGCCAACTTCCAACTTTGTGTCCTCAGAAAAATCCACCGCGTGACAACCAATGACAGCAAATGCAGAGAGAAGTTGTGTGAGGCAGATAAGAATGAGGACCCATCGAGACCACAGCATTCGACCACGATCGGGGACGTAGTCCAGACTCACGCATATTTGCTCCGCGTTAGCAAAGGTCGACACAGGGTGATTGCTTACTGAAAGGGGTGCCGGTTTCTAGAAAAGTACAATCAAGGTTTTCCAAGCCCTACTTTTTAACTCGAAATGGCGCATAGGGTGAAAAACTCCGTTTAGCCTTAAGGTATTATTAAAAATTGGTAATTACTTACGAGAAAAGCTAAAACACGAAATCTACAAAAAACCTAAATAAATTGCATTAGCATGTCAAAAGTCTCTAACATAAACTAGGCATTACATGAAAATTCTGGTTGTCTTTTGCATATGAAAATCCTTGTTCTTCGTTTTGAAGGCTTTGCCACCTTGGTTCATCAGATTGTCTAGAATACAAAGCAGGTGCCTCAAGACCTTCGTTTTTTGCGTAAGTAGATTGCCGCAATTCAGCTGGAGGAACATATCGAACTGGATTGAACTGACCGTTGGCTCTAGGCATGTAGCGACGTCGGCTGCGACGATGAGCCTGTCGGGAGCCTCTATGGGGTTTCGGTGGAGCTATTCGCGGATCCATCTAAAATTTTTATTAGTAAGACAAAGAACCTGACCCAATTCTAAACAAAATTTTGGAAAAGAAAATTTATGTGGCAAACCGCTGATTGATATGGCCCAATTTAACAAACTATTCATGCAGACAGACATCTGCAACTAAGACTAGGCTTGCTTAACTATTCCAATAAGTAACAGTACAAATTTGATGCTTTACAAAATATTACACGAATTTACATTATCATAAGAATTTATAAATTCGGAACTCCATCATTGGCTAAATTGATCATAACAGATGCCCCTACGCGATGTTTGGCACACTTAAATAAACAGCGTTTTGAATTTAGATAAATCAAACATCTGAAAAAAATTACAAAGTATTTTTTTGAAAACAAAGTGTGAAAATTGTTGTTAAAAAATTATTATTTTACTGCTTTCATATTTTTGCTATGATTGCCCACAGGGTTTTCAAACCGAACTACGATGTCCTATCAACACAATCAATCATATAAAATTAATCAACCCACTATTTGAAATTAGGCGACACAGTCGCTGTCCGTTACTGATTTCACTACCGTAACACAGCGTGCAACACGGCTTCCTGCACCTCATTTCCAGATTACCCTTGCCAGGCTGGTCATCCGGAAATACACCAACTAGCCGGACTCAGCGTACCACTTCCCGGTCAGATTTATCGCATCAACGCACCTGGACAATTACTATAGCAATCAGCAACGGGAACCACCACGCCTTGATCAATGAAAACTAGTCTGACCAAAAATGGCTTTAACCCTGTGCCTCATAAGTTCAGCTATATGCACCCATCTAGGGACGATTCTATGATAAGACCACCCGTGCCTAGTGGATTCCACAAGCCCTGCAGACTACATTCCAAATCAATCTAAACAACTTTAACGATAGCCAGTTGAATGTCAAAAGCGAGCAAGTCACCCTTCGGACGCCCCCACCTCCATTCTTCACCAGGCTCTAAAAAACACCCGTACCGCAGCGCTCACGCTAAAGCTCCGGGATATCAATTTAGCTTGAAACCGTCAGAAGCAAGACCTAATAGGAATTTCTCCGTAATGGTCCTGGAAACTGAGATGTCTAGAGAAAGTAACTAATTTTTAAATCAGCGATTAAAATTTGGTCACTTACTAGCACCCCTATCACAGATTTAAGACCGATTCATCTCAGCTCGAGACAAGCAAATTTCCAAAGCCATAACTCAGAGGGCAACATACAAATCGAAGTTCAGGAAATGCTACCTATAATAATAAGGGCCTAGGGAACATTAATTCCGAATAGCTGCCAAAAACACAAGACCAAGATTTTTGAACTTCTAAAATCTATATACTTACAACCGGTACAAAAGCAGGGATTCGCTTTCCGTTAACGATTCTAGATGATGCCATATGCAAATGGTGATTGATAAGATCAACTAAAACGAAAGAAAAACGAGGGTGACAAAATATGCCATAGATACGTTAAGGACAAGGCAATCACATAAATCTAGTGAGAGATGCGACCTCAAGTTTGGAACAAATGTCACATATGTGAGACGCACCAGGCCCAAACACAAGTCTGCTTATCTTACACCCAACATACTAATAAAACAGATGAAGAAAAGCTGATGGCCAAATTAGAGATCAAAATACCAGGTTTTTAAAAGCGACTATCCTTTAAGACCGACATCAGTAGACGTTTTAATGAAAAGCGAATCCGAGAAAAAAATTACGTACCGGTGACTAAAACCGAAGCTCTTTTGGCAGATTAACGTGAGCATGGAAGCGTCGCAAGAAAGATACAGCATTATCAGCCTCCTTATCGCCTGAGTCAGGCCCAGACTTGGGACCGATTGGACCGTGTTCACGTTCCCAGAGCATTCGATGCTTCTGTTTCATGAAGGCGTCACGAACATCACTCCAGTAGTAAAGTTCCCCATCTAGGATCAAACAGAGAAAACACTTAAAATAATTTTAATATAAAAATCCACACTCACACACAGGAAACAACTAACTGCGCAACTAAACACCCCAAGGACACTCGATTGTAAGGTACTCACACTTAATGAAAAAGTTTGTAGCGGCCTCTTCGTGATCTTTTACGTAAGGTTTGCAAAAACGATCCATATCTTCGTAATCACGGTCGTACCACTTCCTGCACTCGTTAACGCGTTGGCGAAGAATTCTCACAATGTTTGCATCAACAAGTCTAGGAGGAGTAACAAAACCCAACGCTTACCTGTCGCGATGAAACTGATTATTGGCCTCAGTAATACAGACTCTGTCACCAACTCTGCAACTATCGATTTCAGGGACGCGAGCATATCGCTGATGATAATAATAAAACTTCTTACGCCGAATTCTTTCAACAATTTGCTCTGAGATTAAGGAAATACTTTAAAAGAAACTCTCACCTCTAAATAAGGTCACAGGCTTGTCGATAATGTTTGCAATGAAGGGAAATAAGTATTTCTCAAAACGTGATGGCTTATATGGCTTGAAAAGATCATCGCGTGTGATTTCAAATGAATGATGGTCGTGATTTTCGTGATGATCCTCGCGATGCTCCTCGGCTAGACTCATCTCCAGCGCATAAGCAAAGGCGCCGCCCTTGGAAAACAAGAATATAAACGAAGATGTTAATGGCATTTTAGTTTAAAAAATCACTAATTTTTTTAAACAGACTTTCTAGGTGCTCGTTGCCTTAATTTTGGCGCACTCTCCGTATTAGCGCAGCCTTTGCATTCCCCAGATCGTGTTGAATATAAACACTTCGAGGGTACTACGGGTTTCACATACTCAAAATTTACAAGATATTGCAATAAATGCATTGTTGCACTTAGGCTAAGGTAGGGTAAACCATACTTCCAAACTAGCACTGCCATCTCCCGAAAGCCGAACTCCCTATTGCCAAATTACTTGTCCCATCGTATTCCTGTAGAGGAATCATCAGAAGATTAGCAATGCAGTGTTGAATCCATATCCGACCACAGAAAAACGGCATATTGTGCATGCGGAAACATTCCTCCCTACCAATCTAGTCCCAATTTCATAGTGGTATAAAACGCTGGCCCTACTTATAAACATATCCCCTAAAAACAGAATAACCCCAATACCTGATATCCGCTTTAGGTTGAGGCCAAACGTAAGAACACCCACAGATACGCAAGTCTTTCGATTCTCCTAATTATACAAAAAGTGTGAAGAAAACCGTAGGGCGAAAATCAAAGGTCGGTGCTTGGTAAGGTTCCATGGCTAATGTAACATGTTTAGTCCGCCAAAATAATGAAGTCAGACGATTTGAAAGACAGGAAATATACCAACAAATTACGCGCCACTGGGATAAGGATGAAAGCCCATCTATGATGTCTTTGGTGGGTTCAAAAAGAGATTTCTGTGGAATACAATGCCCCATTCCGTATCATCACGACACAGCATGCCTTCTTGTTCACACAAAAGAAGTCGCTCCCTAGCTAGCACGGGCGCTATCCCCGCTTGTCGCGCTAATTCTCCCGCCGTCAGACCCTTTGAACCGTCAGATGGCAGAAGATCACAGGTCGCCTTCAATGTGGCCTCTTCGGACTCACTCGCAAGCTGCAAAACCTAGTACGAATAAAAATACTACTGACGACAGCAAAACTCAAGGTACTGGAAGAAGTTTATTAGCTAGAGGACGTACTTTAAGACCCGAGGGGAATGTTTTGAGCCGCAAAGGCAGTTTCAACATAGGCATCAGACGTGCAGCCTCAAGAAGATCATTAGGAGCAATCAGCTGAACACCACGAGCACGATTTACGCGGCAATATGCCGTGGTGAGGTCAATACAACCACCACAAACACCCGCTGTACGCTGCTCTAACAGGGGTTGAAGTAGGCGACATATCTGGGACGCCAGCTGCCGATGAAATGATGAAGAATGCGTCGCGATATCAGCGGTATCCTTTTCTTCTGCCACATTGACATCCTCCAGACCCATGCTTAGCATAGCCATTCGAAGCTCTGTCATATCGTTTTCTGCTACCTTTTTACCGCTAGCTTTAGTGGTACGAATTCGTTGGGACAAATTTTTTGACAGAACAACCATCTCTTTCGCATTTTCCATAAGTTTAGACAGATCTGTGAAGGCAGTGGCTATGCTACGATCCGCGGAAACCGTTTGTGCTAGCATAGAGCGTTCGATTCCTGCCACACCGACGTGTCCCGATCCAGGCTTTAAAGCCACTGTCCACACCTTTGCCTAAAAGTGGGACATCACATTCAAAAGGAAAACAGGTTCGGTTCAGCAAGCATGACACTTTTTAATAAAAAACTCACTGCAAGTGTTTCATTCAAGGCAGCGTAGAGTGCATTGTGTCCACCCTGCGTGAACCCGAGGCGAATGTAATCTAATCCAGCTGCCATAGCAACGCGAGAATTTCCACTATCAACGATCCAAGCCACCGACCAGGGAGGTCTCGTAGGCATCGCCTTAACAGCATTCAGGAGTTGAGTTGGAGAAAGCAGTTTCAGCATAATTTTCGGTGTCGCAACAACAGATCCGGAGGCGTGTTGCAGAGTGGCACTGATCACCGCGGCCAGTGGAAGGGACATTGTGGAGTCATCTTGTTGCCAGAGCAACCGATGAGAGGTGAGAGTTAGACGACCCTTATCGAAGTTGGTACGACCGGGTCCGTTGTAGAGGGTAACACCGGATAGTGTTGCAACTGAAGATTCACTATCGGAGAGCTCACTTTCAGCAGTAGTTAAACACCATCGAAAGCGATCCATCTGGAGCGCCGAGCACAAAAAAATGAGTAATCCAACTCACAAGCATATATCCTAAACATATCAGCCTCAAATTTTGAGCGAAACACCACACATCCGCATCTCTACTATGGGCGTTCAAGCCTGACCGAGACTTTTGTATTAGGGGGGTTTAAAAGAGAAGCCAGTGTGGTGGTATTACACGTAGTAATAGGTAGCAATCGGAACCCCAACGCGTGCACTTCGTGGACTGGTTCAGTCCAAACATTGCCTATTAAGATGCCAGGCAGCAGCAGTAGCAGTGAACACGTGTATGTGACAGTTTGATGCGATAAGGAGTCTTGTCATCAGCAGCATAAAACCCGAGGCCACAGATCCCTAATCGTGCCTGTGGATAACTTGGAGCACAGACCAGAACATTCTGGATTGTATTACTATAAGTGACAAAATCAAGGAACGACGTTTCCCTACACAATCAAAATCACGATCGCCACAGTTTCGGCATCAACGACGAAGCGGAGCGGGCTGTCCGTGGCACTAATGAATCCACTTGTGTCAAGACTACGTGGTAGCAAGTAGGATGGAAAATAAATTTCACTTCAACATCTCCAGAAACTGACTGTCGTACCCGGCAAATTCAAGCACTGTTTTGACATGAACGCTACTTGTAGACTCACCTTATATGAATAATGCGTTAATTTTGAAAAAAAAAACCATTACAAACGGCACCACATGCATACATAAAGATTAAAAAGGTGCAAAAGTAGTAGAGAATGTATTCTAGCAGAAGGACAGTGGTGATAGGGACAGTAATGAAAGGTGTTGTACATAAGGGGAGATCTAATTAATATCACAGGTAGAAAGAGGATTAACCGGTTACTAAGGTTGCCTCACGGTGCTTGTGATGATCGGCTGAACCTGAATGAATGAGAAAAAGGAACCATTATATAATATCAGGGCTAAAGAGATGCTGAGAAGGCACACGATGCCGAACGCAATTGCACTGGCGTGCCTTATTAAGGCCACAAAAGATGACTCAAGGAGACGCATTGACGAGGGCGAAAAGCAAAATTAAACCAAACAAACTAAAATTCCAATTTTATCGACTAGACACCAAGTATAAATGATACTGAGGAGCAATACTTCTTCTGCTAGGTTAAAACCTGCGAAGCCCCGCTATGGAAGAGTTCAAGGTGCGTGAAATCGTCAATCATTCATTTCTGAGAACTCCATAGTTACTGCAGACAAAGTGAGGTAAGAGTATGACAAGTTAGCATCAACTTTAGCATTATTAATGACACTTTTGATTCTAGTGCGTCATGGCTGAAGGAGAAGAGTAGTCCTGGAAAACTCCGGGGACTGAGCTTAGAGAAAGATGGAAGTAATGCAATAAAGTGAAAACTGTTTGAGTCTACATTTAATTACAAGTCTTATATTACCGCCTTAGCGTCATGACCCTCTTTCATGTTAAGAACTTCTTAGCTTTTCTGCATGCTAGCAATGACAAGTCCCTCTGCACAGGTTTGCCATTGCGACCACAGAGATGACGCGTTACACTCACTCTGGGGCTTCTTGACCCTGGTAGCATCAGCGGAGGATGCCGATGGACGAGGAACCTCATGGTCTGGTACAGCCGGAAGATCACCAGCGACGTCGCTAGCCAGCAGACGCTCCAATTCTGCCTCAACTTCAACGTCATCGCGAGACGTCAAATTGCCTACTATTAGAGCGCTTAGCTCCTATAGTTGCAAATGATAAAAAACAGTAACTATTGTCAGAACTTAAGTGGTAGTTAACTCACAAACTCAACAGCCCGATAACGTTAAACAAGCTTTCAACATCGATTAATCCCACACGTACTGAACTAGACAACACATTTGACATGTCTTTTAAAAAGAATTAAAGATTGCCACTTAAAATAGGTGCTGAGGAAAAATGGAGTCAGAATAATAAAAGGTAAGCTAATTAACTCACAGATTGGTAGTCCTGAGCCTCCTGAGCATCGCTAAGAATTTTTTCCACATCTTCCAATTTCATGAGGTCGTTCAGTTTCTTCAGCGCCTCGTTACCTTTCCTCAAACTCTCCACAACCTGGACCTGAACCTGCGCAAACTCCAGGTCATTTATGAGACCTTCAACAGTAGTCAAATGCTGTTCTGACTGTTCAAGCAACTTTTCCTGGTATTTCTTCTTTTTAAGCAGTAGCAGCGCTCGTCTTAAAAGAATGAAAATGAGGATCATCTTAAATTATCTGCAGTAGGAAATTAGGATAAAATGTCGTAAAAGAAAATTATAGAACCACAGCAAATAATAGCCGATGGAAAAAAATCCATGAGGAAGGATCTTAAAAAACAAGCCTCCCCGACCGCATAAAACGTGATTCAATTTAAACACTATTGATGACACAAACAGACGACCACAACTAATGGGAATTCTAGAAATAACAAACACAGAGAGGAAATGTCAAGTACGATCGAAAGTGAAGAGAAGTGAAGTCAAAAGGGGGAGGACTTTAGTAACAGAAAAGGTGAGAAAATTAAATACTGCTAAGAAGCAAAGCAAATAGGCGTGGGTAAATTACGAGCATGATAAAAAATCATAGCATCTTACTGTTTTTGTTTGCGAGAAACGAGCTCCTTGATAGTGGCAGTGTCCTTTTCGATAGAACCATTTATCCTACGAGCATAGCGCTTCAATTCATCACGCTGCTGCTTCAGCTGTAAAACCGCCTTATCGTGTTCCGTAACACGAGATTTGTGGCGGCTGAATAGAATACCCATACCTAAAGTGGAGATAGAAGGAAATTTAGGAATTTATTTCCTTAGCTAGTAATGTTTAAGGTAAAAGGCAATGAATAAGATCATAAGGGCGGAAATTGCTTGCTCGAAAAGTCAAAAAGGCTGCAAAAGCCAAAGGTAGCAATAAAATTATTTATATGCGAATTACATCGGCAAAGGAGAACAAAAAAATCACGCTACCGCAAACCAGCTCTCTGATTGGATGTAAGGGAAATCTAATTCATACGTTTATTGTAAAGGAGAACTTAAAGATATCAATCTATGCATTTGCTTTGAAGTAAATTTTGAGGTTTTTATAGGGTCAGTTTTGGCCTTTTAAGGCAACAGTAAAGTGCAGCTATGTGTCCGAAACCGAATATTTACATGGAAGAAATTTAGTGCGAAACCCCTTTTTCTAAATTGTAAAATAAATTGTACTAGAAGATCACTAAACAAGCATTGCATTTTAAAGAAAATGTTGCACTACAAAAAGATTTTTAAGCACATAGAGACTATTCCAGCTGAGTTGGAAATGATCGAAGAAGCACAGTACACACCCACGACTTCTAATTGAGATAAGGTAAGGTATAATACTCAAACAGAACATGTAATTTCAGGGAGTAAAAAGGCTTTAATTATTAGCATAGCAACAAAGTGAGCCCATTCGATGGTGGTGCAGGGACGAAGGAACTAATTAGACCTATTTTCAAACCGAAATATTAAAAGCAATCAAAGCAAAGAATTACCATTATTTGCCAGCCTTCTGCATTTGCCATCAAGACCCAATCAGTGCTTTACGAGAACTTCCCCGATCCAACAGTGCCAGACGTTATATTTTCATGAAGTTGACTGCAGTTTTACTGGTTGCTCACAGCAAGCTTACTGACCATAAGTTCTGTCCTGTACGTGAACTGTATCGAAGAGAAGCATGCACGCAGGTTTTTTAATATTTGTGGCTACTTTCGGTACGGCCAAGCGCAGAAGTAGAGTCATTTAGTGTGAAATAATGTTTAAATATTTTATCTTGAGGATAAAGTTAAGCTTCTATACCTCCTTACAAGGAGTTTCTCACTTCGATATTGCTCACTTAATCCATCTAGGATCAATTTAAATGGTAAGAGGGTGGGAAGCGTGCGGATAATTAATTATTATTTTTTCAACGGATAGAGTAGACAGTCCTGTAACAGAATTTTTTCAAATGGTCCACTGCTTGTGTTACTTTAGCTGCTCGTAGTACAAAATAGGGTAGTAGGGTATAATAGACGCTTTCTGTACAAAAAGTATAATTAAACGCACGTAGGTTACAGCAGAGCCTTATGTGTGCCATTTTAATATCTAACGCTATCTTATCCGTCTGATTAGATTCAGAGTCACTTGCTGCAACGTATTTTTTGCCAAAGAGAATGGTATGCTGTGGTTAATTAGTGTGCAAGTAAAAACTTTCACTGACGGAAAAAAAGGACTTTATTTCTAGCTACATTAACGTCTGAATTTTCCATTTGGTCTGGCTGGATCTGAACAAATTGTACTCGTTCTAGGGCTTACACGTCAACTAAATAAAATGACACGATCTCTTAGGTTAAATTATCACCCTTTGTTTATACTTTTTTGGTCATTTCGCATATTCAATTTGCTCTCCAAGGTCATATTGTCATTCCTGCTTTTGCGGATTTGTGTTCAAATATTCATGCCTAGAGGAAGACCTCGCCGAAATCTTAGAACCAAAACACAATCCGTTCACGCAAATGGTGGGGCTAATGACAACTTGAATACGGAGCTTTCAGAAACAGAGGTGTTTGTTATTCTTTGACGTTAGCACGCAGGTTTCTTCTTCTCTGTAAACTTTTCATCATTGAAATATTCTGTAATGCTTACCTCCCTAGTAACTTTCTGAAAGGCATGTTGTGCATGCGAATTTTCATAGGCTGCATTTGGAACTAATTTGCACGCATCTGTGTATTCGCCCTGTTTTTTATCAGTTTTATTTCGTCACCGGTATTTAAGTCCAGTATTTCAACATTGGTCCTTAATTTGTTCCCATTTTTGACTGATAATTTTGTAACCTAATTTAGATAGCTTTTGCACATTCGTATAAATTAGAATCGCCCTGAAGACAACATTGACGACCCAATTGAGATCCAAACCGCCGACGAGGAAGAAAATTCTTCCTCCGACGAAAACAACTCAGATTCATCTTCATCCGAAATTCCTCGGAAGAGGAAACTTACTGAGGGGAAAATTGATGTCGATGAAGAGCTGGAAAGTGTTGACGACGAGGAGTTGACAGATTCCGACTTGGACGATGAATATTACGTAGAGGGATTGGATGGAGACGATAGTAGTCGAAATGATGTGCCCACAGATTTGCCCTTAAGCTTTTGCGGACCCGCGGAAAAGGCCGCTGAAACATGTCGTCTTCCAGCCCGTCGTATCACTGCTGACGAATCGTCGATGTTTCCGTTTCTGGAAGACGATGAGAATGTAGCTCTTAGGCCGGCCTATCTTATTGCTCGCAATGCAGCTGTACGTTTGACCTTGATTTTTCTAGTGTCCAATTGATGCCTTGTGTTATGTAAAAATCAAATGAGTGTTGCTAGATTTATCCATTCGTTCACTTACGATGCGACTCTCTGCCATTAATCTGTCCGTCTATCATTCTCAGGTCCTTCTCCCTTTTCTTAGTGTATCGACCAATCTATGAATCTTATCGCTTCTTTAGTTCACCCCCTAAGCCTATTTCGGATCCATCCACTCATTTGCGCATTTACCACTCATTCTTCAATCAGTTTTTGGTGCCTCTGTTTATACGAGTCTTATTTACCGATTTCTGACATCCGTCTGGCAGTAATCCTATTGTCCAACCCAGATTCCTTCGCTTATTCATCTGCACTTCAGATTCTAGTATTTGTGATTTATCGTTCTCAACTTAGGTGTTTATCTGATTTGGGTATTCCAAATCTCCGCTGGTATATTACTCTCTAGGCAATTCGATTAGAGTATTGTAGAAAGCATCTGCTCAATCATCCACCTCTGATTCGTCCATCCAATTCCCTGCCTGTTTACTATTTTGTGCCACTGCTTATTTTTTTACACCTCTAGTTTATCTACCTTAAAACTACCCGTTAATTTATCCATTTGACAATCTTGAATCTTTTCATTAGTCACCAAGTCATCAACGTATTGATGACCCCTATTTCGTCTGTTCGCCCACCTATCTGTTTCTGATTCTTTCACGCATCGTTATTCCACTTTTTCTCTATGGATTCATTCATTTGTTCACCCATTTATCACTTTTCGCCTCATCCCATCTATTTTCGTTTGTACCAGTTGTAATGAAAGGACCTTGACTTTTTATCAACAAGTCCTCAGCTTATCATGAATGTCGCTAATCAATACTTGACCCTTCCATTCTCTTCTGAGCCATCCATCCTTTCTGAATTCGTCTTTGATTATTCGTCTTTCTTCTATCTACCCAGTTCTGTTCAAACATACGTCTTTGGTAAACAATAGTGGAACCCCTGTTTTTTACATTAAGTGTAGGAGTTTTTTTGGAATTCACAAAGTGAATTAATGCATTCCAATACCTTCATGAAAACTACCTAGTCATTTGAGGGAGGGGGCAAATTCAAAGCTAGCATCTGCTTCTTCCTTTCTTTCAGTGTCACATGTGGACAGAGGATCCCACGGTGCAGGTGACGACGGATCGCCTAATGGGCTATCTCGTCTCGTCTAGTAATGATCAAGCTGTACTTTGCATGCATGCATCTGGCTTAACCGCCTCTCTACCCACCAGTGAAGATGCTTCTCCTATTACCTCTGTTTGGTCAACTCCAGTAGCGCGGCAAAATTTGGAACGACTCGCCTATCTAGCAGTCCTCTTCCTTGAACGCTATGGCTATATCAATATTGGGGCTTTTAAGCAACTGGCAGCGCCTCTGACGCGAGCTGTAAAACCGGCTTCGGGTGATTCGACCACATCGACGACACGAAGGGGTGCCGATAAGCACGCAGCTAATGCCATGGTACCCCTCAGGGTTATCATTTGTGGTGCTGGAGCAGCTGGGCTCATGGCGGCGCGTCAGTTAGTATATTTCGGTGCTCAGGTCACCGTTTTTGAGGCCAGAGACCGAATTGGTGGCCGGATTTGGACCTACAAACAGGGCAATCAGTTTGCCGACCTCGGTGCAATGATTATAACGGGAATGTGTGCGTTCCCCTTTCTCCCTCTCCCTAATATACCATTAAATGAAGTACCTCCAAGTGGATTGTGTTTTGAATTTTAGCTGGAAACCCGTCTACAATCCTGGCCAAGCAAGGTGGGCTGATGCTGGCTCCAATCAATCCTTGTTGCACGCTTTACACTGCGTCTGGGCGGCCCGTCTCGCAGGAAAAAGATGCTCGGATCGAGAAGGAGTTTAATCGCATCCTAGCAACTGCTGGACACATCGCTGCCAAGGATCCGGAGAATTTGGCAGGGAAGTCGCTTGGTCAGGTCATTGAGGACCTAATTCGGTAGGTTTGTGACATTGCTTTGAACTTTAGGCGAATTGCTTCTAGTCCCTATGCTGCTTTGACAGCTTCCTTTACTCCGAGATAGTTTTACTGAAAACGTTTAAGTAGCATTTATATCAATTGCCATGAACATATTTACGGATTTTGGGGCTTGAAAGCCACAGTTTATTTTTATTTTATTTATTATAGCTTTCAAGAACACCGCATTGTTCCTCTGAAGATCAGTCACAGAAACCTCGTTTCTATTCTTTTGCGTCGGAAGGCCAAAATTTTAAATGAGGTGAACGTTTGAACAGTATTTCATTCAAAGTATAATCACAAAGCCTAAAAATTGCATTATTTTATCATAGATATAATCAGTTTGAATATGAGAGTTTGATTGTTGCTATAGTTCTCATCTGATTGCGGTGATTTCGCGTCGGCCAACGCCAAAGTAGTCCAATGTATTGAAATCGCCTCCAAGAGACAGAAGCAACCAGAATCACATCTTGTGGAATTCACTTCTTAAGGGTGCATATAATTTCTCCTGAGAAATCTAAATTCCAAAACTGCATCTTGTTTATTTTGCACGGGCGGATCTAATGGGTGGATGCATCCACTCCCCTCCAATACAACAGCTATTGACTCATCACTCTCCACCATCTCGACCCTAGCTCAGTTCTTTTGCGTAACCAGAACTTGTACGCCAAACCGAACCCTCATGGTCTTTGTGACAAACGTTGCCTGCATCTTGGCACAGACACCTGTTTATCTCTTTAAATACCAACTTCTCTAGATGGCAGATGCACGAAGAGAAATAAACGAGGCTTACAATGATTGGCAAGCGCTTTGTAAGGAGTCACACGAGACACCATCACCGCCAGCTCCACCATCCTCATTGACAGCGCGGTCAAGGCGTTCTCGCGTCGTCGTGGAGACTGCCTCCACGATTTCCGTTAGTTCGACGAATTCTTCCGCTTCCGCCACGCCTCATGTCGCTTCGCCTACGAAACATGATCCCGATGCGGGGTAAGCTAGAAAAGTACTTGGCGCTTATGGCGTTAGTTTTACGCTATTTCGAGTGCTTTAAAACTTGCCGCTTTCTTCGTCTAGTGAAGTATCCAAGTTGTCGGGTGTAGTGGACGTGCAGGATGAGTATAATCGTCGACGTCAGTTGTCCATGTTACATGCCGCATGGAAACGATTTGATCCGATGCAAGTGGCCCTTACAAAAATTAATCGGCAGCTTGAAGTGCTAGCACAGAATCCACCTCGGTAGGTTTGTATCTTGGGTGATTTTCTTAACGCTCCTCCCAATCGCCTATGTTTTGTTGATTGTCTGACTAACCAATGGAATGCCGTCTCCACTTAGTGACGTCTACCTAACCAGCTCCGAACGAAACCTCATCGATTGGCACCTAGCCAATCTGGAATTTGCCAACGCCACTGAATTACAAAACCTCTCTCTTATTCATTGGGATCAGGACGACGCCTACGAGCTGGGCGGAGATCACTGCATCGTTCAAGGCGGCTTCGGTCAAATAATGGATGTACTCACCAGTTCCTCCGGTGCCTCTGGCACTCTGAGACCCGCTGTAGACAACCCCTGCGGCCAAATTGAGCTTAAATCCTCCATCAAGGAGATATCAATCAGTGATTCCGGTAAAGTTTGTCAAATTCGTTGAGGTATCCCTATTATCTCGACTAAAGGCCAAATATTTTTGTATTTTTGTTTGAAAAGGCGTAAAGGTGTCGTGCTTGAATAAAGCCGTGAGTGAAGACGAGCTCATTTCCCACTATGGGGACGTGGTGCTCTGTGCACTACCCTTGGGTGTTCTGAAGGAGTCTGTCAAGATCTCGAATGCGGAGAAGAAGCTGGAGCAAGCAGACTTGACAACACTCAGCGCACCGTATTTCATTCCTCCCCTTCCACCATGGAAATGCGAGGCAATTGAACGGACTGGCTTTGGCACGCTGAATAAGGTCAGTTTGGATCTGATCTACCGTAGTAGCCTTCATGGTTGACTACTCGATTGGTAAGTAGTATGGTAGAGAAATCTCAAAAGCTTGTTTTATGAGAATAACTTGTTAATGAATGTCTAGAAGGACTAGGAAGTAGAGGTTGTACCGTAAGAGACTGGAAATGATCCGCGTTGTCAAACTTGCGTGGCATTTAGTCGGTGAACGCGGAACTACTGCCACCAATGCGGTGTCTAACATAAGCCAAATAAGTCTGCAAGTAGCCCTATTCCAGGCGTTCGAGATGGTTGGGATAGGCTTTAATACCATTATGGTGGTGTCCACTTTTCATAGTTGGTCCTCTTCTTCAATGATTTCTTTTGGGATCGCAACGAGCGCGTCTTTGGCTACGTTCACGATTCCACTGAACGTCGCGGCGAGCTCTTCCTCTTCTGGTCCATCACTGACCGACCGTGTCTCATCGCTCTCGTTGCTGGCAAGGCAGCAGTCACCTTAGAAACGGAAATTGCTGCCACCGTGGGACCAAAAGGCGATGGTGACACCGCGGCCTACCTCAAACTACCTATTGTCGCTCGTGCTTTGTCCATTCTACGCAAGATCTTTGGTCGACAGCATATGGGCAATGTGCCTGATGTAAGGGCGACTCGAATGACATCAGTAGTAATTTTTTATTCCTTCTCCTGCACACAGTGTTCAATCTTAGGTATTTATTAACTCCGCTTTTCAGCCCATTGGAGCATATGCAACGCGCTGGACATCGGATGAGAATATCCGGGGCTCTTATTCCTACGTAGCAGTGGGATCCAGCGGTGATGACTACGATTTCTTAGCAGCGCCGGCTTCACAAGTGGCACCTACCCTACCATCGAGCCTTAGCGCTCCAGCCGCAGCTACAGGGGGAGAAGAGGGCTCGCCACAAGTCCCACTCAGACTTTTCTTTTGCGGGGAGCACACAAACCGACACTATCCAGCCTCGGTGCAGGGAGCAATCTTCTCGGGGCTGAGGGAGGTTGCCCGCATCGCAAACACTTTTTGTCCGGGCGAGACGCCGATTCGACAGCATGGCTTTGTGTTGAGGCAGGCACCGTCTGTGACGCAGCAGCAGCAGCCAATGACAATGTGATCTGTTAAACTGTATGTGTGCCTGTGCGTGTGTGAATTATTTCTGGGAATTTTGTCTTAATGCATTACAGCTATAGTGATGTTACTGGCGCTGCCTTATTGTTACTCTGTGCCGCGTGTGTTATGTGGACACACAGTAGGGCAAAGATCCGTTTAAAGAGTAGATTTAGAAGGGTTATCACGGGATGGATAAGGGGTAGTAGTTCGCAGAGTTCTCTAGCGAAGGTGTTGGTGGGTGGCTGCGTTTCGGCGCGGCCGTAATTTGCCAGGCCTTGAGCAGCTGGCGTTATACCTTAGCTCAAGTGGCGCAGCTTAAAAGATTAAATTGTTTTGACGGTTAAAGTTGATGTGCCAAGAGTGTACGTGATTGCTCATGACTAGTAGATTCGTTGAAATACATGCAGGGTTTGCATTGATGTGTTAAACAAAAATCCGACTTGCGGGAAAAAACGCGCATCTGGAGGGAATTGGCTTCTACTCTAGTTGTTGAAGAAATGCAGCATTTATGCCAAGATCAAAGAACTCCTACCACTGTTATGACAATTGTTGAGTAGTATCGAATGATCTTTCCATTGAAGACGTAATATCACGTGGAAAATTAAAGTAGTAGCAGATCACCCAACGTCAATGAAAAACAATGCTTACCTTAACGTGAAAAATCGCAAGGGCGGGAACTGAGGTGCAAATACACAAGTATGTCTGGCCATTTTAGCATTGCATTCTTCGTAGCGCCATCCGAATAGACTATAAAAATAACAAAATAGCTATCACCTTCATTTAGCAAAAAATGCTAAAAGTCCCTAAATGCGATATGGTTAAATCAAATAAGGTCGTCGGGAATAAAAAACAGTAGACTCCAACTTCACGCAGAAATCGCTGATGAAACACAGTTTTAATCCCACTGATGAATAAATTTGCCACCTACATGAAAAGGTTGGTTCATACTATCTGGTTTACATAAAAAGCATCGTGATTGCGGTTGTTTATATTTACCGGAATAATCTTAGGAAGCCGGAGCTCCTTTTCTAAGTGGGTACTTGTCTTCTCAGTGCATGTGTCAAAATACGTTTGCGTTAGTGCCGAATGCCAAAAGTCACATCTAGGAAGAGGAAGACAGATGTGTTGCTGTCAGAGAAGTACTGTCGTCGGGTGTGTTCTGCGATATTAATTTTCTAATGTCTTAGCTGGTATCCTGCTCATTCGACGAGACCTTTCTCCAAGAGCCCCAGGGATTTCTTGCCGCAGTTTCGGCCCGTATAAACTGCGAAAATCCGAACAATGGGAAGTCGGCTTTTGCGAAATTGCCTGACTGGGTTGCAAATCCACCGGCTTTAATCCGACCGATTCCTCCAAAATCTCGTGGTTTTGATGGGCCAGTTCCACTTCCTTTCTCCATAACCTGGCAACGGTACACACCTTCTAACGGATCAGGTTTGTGGCATTTTTCAGTAAATGGTTTTTCTCGAATCATAAGATGATTCAGTTCAACTCATGTCAGCTGAAGAACCAGATGTTCTAGTGATTGTTTTGCAGAACCAACTTCGGTCACTTTTGGAAGTAAGATGATGTCATTTTAGTTTCTTTTTATTAGAATGAATCGAAAATCAGCGACTTCTGTGCAACGCTTCGATCTCTACCGCAGCGAAGACGTGTATCCGTTATAATATTTGCTCCAAGGTAGTTTACAAATTGTATCTCGTTCCTACTACAAGTTTTCGATATGTGATTTGAGTTTTAACAATGATCAATCATCTTCATGTTCACGCCACCAGTAGTCTTTTAATGCTATCCACGGGTTCCCACTTGTCTTATTTGCAATATCTCAAAAGTTTTATTTCAACTTGAATTTCTTCCTTCCTAATCAGTGTTCTTGAAGATAAGCATCGCCTAGTTGCTATTCAATATACTTCTTATGGTGCATAAGTTATTTTGATGTACCTTATTTGCCTTTGATTTAGGTTAATTGCTTTTAAAGTTCACATGCCAACTCACGACCTGGTGTAATACGATCTGTTTATGTAGCAGTTACAGTTTATTTGTGAACTATGGGGTCTTACTGGCTGTTGTGCTCATATTTTTTTAATTAATAGTAGCCATTTGTGTCAAAATGTAATCCGCTCTAAATAACTGACCTGTTTCTTGCGATCAGACTCTCATCGACCAAGGATCGCTCTTTTCTCGATCTCCTTACGCGCCTCCAATTTGAGTGTAACTTGACAGGTATTCAACAGGCCTCCACGACGCAAAATCTCGCTGTCCTTGTGGGCAATTACACCAAAGCTATTTGCCAGCGTCCTTTCAAGTACGTTGTTTGCCTGCTTGTTGTATGCTTCAGAAGCGTTTGCTCCCTACTGTTGTTGTTCTGGCAATCCCTATTCTACCGTCCTTTTCGTTCTTAAGTACAGCATCCACTTATACCGTTTCAGTAGAGCTTTTATCCCTTAGAAAGTCGCGACTGGATACTCGACATGGCTTCTCCTTCCTCCCTGCCTCTGCAACAACCGTGGCGGGTGCGGTTGCCGCTCCTCGATTCCCATTGACAACAACGTGTCGAGGCACTGGTTTTAACGAAGAAGATGTGGTTCGTGCGTGGGTTCATCAAACCTGGCTGCGCCAGCTCGCAACGTGGCGAGGAATGACTGGGGAGGTGGTTCACGCTGTTGCAGAGGCCTATCCTACTCCACGTGCACTGTTCAATGCGCTTAATGAATCTACAGGCGGCAAGTCGATTTAGTTTACGTAACATCCCAACTGTGAGTGTGTAATTAGCGCCTAGAGTGGCTAGGTGACTAGAAGCACGCAGGCCCGTGTTGTTATCGCGAAAATCAATCTATGGAGGACTGCAAAAAGTTTTAAACCTCCTCCTAGGCTCTTCCTTCCTTTATCTTCGCTGGTTAACAAGTGATGTGTTTCTTGAAATACCCATTTGTTTACTAGCTAACTAGATAACTCACTTTTAATGGGGACTGTTTGCTTTACGTAAACGATTCACTACCCAACCAACACTTCCGAGGCGTACACCTCTTAATCGCCACAAAACTGCTTACCCTGTGGCGCAATAAAAACGCAGTTGTTTACTGTGATTTATTCACTTGGTGAAGGCGAAGCAGCAGCTACACCTGCGACCCCTCTGCACACCTTTAAGGTCTGCCAAATAATTCTCTCTTGAAACATTTTAAGTTGCTCGATCAGTCCAAAGATAGCCCCCTATTCTTGCAAGTCAACATGAAAAGATTTGTCAGTTGCCGACTCTTCCTTATTTCAGTGACTTGTATTTTTCCATTATCACTCGCGAAACAGTAACGAGAGATTGAAAAAAATGTGTAAGAAAAAGGAATGCAGCTAGGTCGCCTACCTTTAGGAACAAAACGGTTTCCAGAATTGGGATTTGTAGTGACATTCCCTCTTCTAGGCGAGTGATTGTGGACCGTAACGAATAGATTTTGCATTATAAGGAGCTTTCGGTGGTTGATCGATTCCTATTACAATGTTGCAACTTATTCTGTTTGTATTCTTTAATGCCCCTTTTCCTATTGCCTAGGTGATAGCGGTAGTGATTCTGCAGTAGCAGGATTGGCTGAGTTGCCGATCCGTCGAGGTGCTGGCGTCCTGGCAACGGAGACCCGATTGGGAAATGCAATTGCTGCTCGTATTGCCGCGTTTTTTACCTCTACTGACCCTGACCTTCTTGTGGATGGTGCCCCTTGAAAATTATGTAAATAGAATCCATTTAGGTCCTGCAATTGTATTTGTCGTTTTGAATGGGGAAGAGGTTGGTTCGCTTAATTCTGATTTATTAACTTCCTAACACCTGAAGAGGGTTAAAGAGTCATCGACTAACTTGTAAAATTTTATCCCCTTCTATGGTCCCCTTATTGGATACTTAGATATGAGATTTTAGTTGATAGAATATCTTTGAAAGTTAGCACCGAGGGTTGGGAAGCACCTAAAATATCCAACATGAAAACATTTGAGTTGACCAAAATTCAAAGGGTGGGTTATTGTTAGCATGTTCCAATCTTACAAACTATTGACGATTTGCGTATCTTTGCCATTACGTGACGGAATGACCGTAGTCCAGCGTGGCCTCCAAATCCTTGGATTTGGTTGGTTGCCCGTGGGCACAAAAGCGAGTGGTGATTGGTTACTTTTACAACTCATCAGTTTCCAGATCTCTGTACTCACCAAAACCGGATTGCCATCTGCTGAGCTAATCGATCTGACACCTATCCACAAAATGAATCTGCCTCTTATTTCGTAGTTAAAATCCAATCTGTGGACAAACTTTGTCAACTTTTACGAAGAGTTTCGCCTTCAGAACCCTAGAACTCAATCCTTGTCAGCTCTAATCCACCTTGAATACCCAGTTGTCTACTTCTTATGTGATCTCCAAGCACCAAGAAAGGGTGTTATTCAGCACTTGGATAATGCTGGGGATTGCCACAACTCTGAAAAGCGTTCTTCTTTGATTACCCAGTTCCAATGAGAAACTGAAGAGAGACGTGTCCCATCCTCACATTTCGTGTTGGCTTTAGACAATCACTTACTGTATCTACGCCTTCACAAAATCCGGCATTCACCTCGAGTCAAATCTTTGTAAATCCAACGTATATCTGCGTTCAAGCGCAGCAAAACCGGATTAAATTTTCCAAATGACTTTATACGGACAAATCGTAGCCAATACAACAATTTATTGCTTCATAATGTAGCATACAAAAAGCATTTGATCCAATGGCAAAAACGCTTGATTCTTGAGCAACTTCGTTGCTCTGTAAATGCTGGACATTGGGGAAATCGGGATGGGAAAAACATATATCTGCCGGCAGTACTATGAGCATCACATCGCCTCATCCATGTCCTCAACCATGTCTGAAGCCTCGCCAGGAGTCGTGGTGCTTCGTTTCGATGCTTTTTTGGCAGCCGTTGACTCCCGGTAACCTACAAATCAAGACCCTTACATGCACCACTTAATCGCATTTCAGTAGAGGTGGCGATTAACCATTTCCATTTTAAATCAAAGTCAGATCTGTTTAATTATTTATCCGACTCTTCCTCCGACCCCCCATCTATCACTTCCGTTCAACTGCATACTCACTCACAAGTTATCCATTCCTTCAACAATTCAATCGTGCAGCTACCCACACACCGATTGGTTAAATACCTGTTTCGTTCTTCCATTTACTGATGCTGCCATTCAACAATCCGCTCGCGTAGCAACACGCACAAATTCAAACGTTCAAACACTCGTTTCTTCACTCAATCAACTTGCCAACCTTCCAACCAACCAATCGACCAACAATCCACCATATCATTCATTCTCCTTTCATATTCAAACCTTCCGCATACTCATCTACAACCAGTCCTTCTCTTCCAAGCTAGGTGTAAATTCCACTTTCTCCAAATGCATTTCCTTCAAGGATAAAAAAAAACAAAACTATCTCGAGCTACTTCCACATCCAACCAGGCCCCCGATATTCCCCTACTGGATTGTACCGTGATGAATAGAGAGAATTCCAGCCGTAACTAAAGTTTGAAACCCAACAAATTAACGATTCTGTCTAAGGTGAGCCACAAAAGGCAGGCACCGGTACGCACCTTAAAAGTGCAGGTTAGATGGCGACACATTCAGTATGTACAAAAAGCCTTTTCTTGTCACAAGTCAGTTAGGCAGGCAAACAGGCATAAAACGACGCGCATTTCTCGAGGATATGTGAAAGAAGTGCGGCACTGATGCAACTCGTGTGGCACCCATTTATTCTGATGCCTTCGACGACTTTGGCATCGCACCCAGTAGGTATGGGAGAAAATTATTATTATCAGGCCAAGCATAGAGTGATGCGTAGTTCCTCCAGATGAAAAAGAGAATCGTTCTAAGCATGGTGCAATTACCCTCGAGTGACCTGACACCACAATCAAATTGTGATTCCAATCGTTTCGGGTCAGTAGGACTGGCTGCCGTGCCTTCACCAAACGCTTTACCAACCTACAATAAACCTCCACAGCTTCAAAGCCAAACTGATACTCATGAATCAGACAAGCTGCGCTTCATGAGGGTCCAAACATAGCGAGTCCCCAAAGTGAACTGGCCTGGAAAACGTACGTGGGAGCCTATTTATCAGTTCTACAAATAGTTTGCTTCCTCTTTTATTTATTCGGTAGAGCAGCAATTTATGACTCAAATGAAATGACTTTTAAAGCTCTGGGAATATAATACCCCAAAAAACAAATATGCTACTTAGTCAGCACTTCAGTAGACTGTTTGACAGGTTGGTAGATGGACTGATTGGCATACACTTAAAAAACCTTTTTAAACATTTAGTTTAACCTTGCAGTGTGTATCTTTTAAAATATTTAGAAGGGAAAAACAATCAACTAGAAGCTGGACTAACTTTCGAGGAATTGAAGCAGAGGCGACTCAAAGTGCCCGAACTGCATGTCCCGCAGGGCGCCAATGACATCGGAAGCCGCGAGGGTTTTGCGTTTCCCTGCCTCGCAGTGTACACTGGCCATAGAAGTAACGCAGAGCACGAAAGAACTCGCCGCTTTACTCAGAGCGGATCGCGCCTCTCGTGACACCATGACGGAAGCGTCCTCCGGGAACTGATGAAGAGATTAGGCAATTAATTTGATGCACCTATCAATCGACCTGATCTGCTACAGGGTATCCATTCATCAATCAATTCACTCGTACGCCATTTCATTCACCTTTCAGCCTCCTCTTCCACCTGTCCATTCAGCATATCATCCCCTCTCCTCTTCGTCCAATCGTTCATTCACCTGACCACCTAAACCTGCATCCTACCAACTTTTCCATTTCTCATTTATTCATCCATCCAATCATCAATCCTTCAATGGACTCTTTACGCGACTATTCATTCAACTCCCGTGTACACCAGTACTCTGGCGAAGGAAGCCTTCAATCCAGCGGCAAACTACTTCACCCCCTACCAACAATTCGTCCAACTTAGAGGAGGGAACCACCTTCATAGATGGCAAAAGGCAAGAACTCACAGCTTCACGAACAATCCGCATAATCACCGCATTCGGAAGGTAGAGATCGTCCGACTTCTCTGACATGACAACCACTAAACAAGAGACAAATCGAGGCGTATGTTTCATACCGGAGACCATTCCACTGAAAATAGCATTTGCGCTTTCAAGCTCAATACATTCGCAAGCGCTCTCTAGAAAAGTAAGGGTCTCGCCAAAAAATCCTTTATTTTCCAAAAAGCACATTACCAGCCTCATTAATCGGTAAACAGAATGGGTGAACGGGTTAACAAAGGCGCGAGGGGTGTGAGCAAATTGAAAAAGTCAAACACGACGGAAAAAGTAGAGATAGGCATGTTGAAAGGGGGGCGACTCGCTACGGCAGACCTTTTCGTCGTTGAAGATGACCCATTCGTCCTCCTTTTCGCCATCGGAAAGACATGGAGATGGGGCGCAGGCCGGAACAAGGCCGGGAATGCCCTTGCTGAGGGCGGTTCGCTTTATGTGACACACGTAGTGACCCGCCTTTGTTGGAAATTGGAAAATGGGAGGACGGTTAGAGGCCTTTCAGTTATCAATCCATTCCTTATTCGTAATTTATCCAAACGCACACGCTACTATTCAACAGCGATCGTGTTCCATTTGACCATTCATTCTTCTGTAAACTATCCTCCGATCCCTCATCCTTTCACCCCTCTCACAAATAACCCTTTACACGTACACCCGTGGAGACGTCCATCCATTCTTCAAATTCTTCATCACCCATCCTGTTGTCTACTCATTCTATCATAGAAACCAGTACTACAAAGGTGGCCTCTATCCAAGTCTTCCGTCGCTTAATCGACTTGCATTCATGCGTTCATCTGCCTGTCCGTTTCCCAGCTAGTCTCTCCAGTTGGCCATTCTAGTTGCATGACTATCTGACTATCGACAGCACAATCTAACCATTCTACGATCCGCTTCAAATGTTGTGCTTCACCGGAAGTAGCAATTTCAGCACTCAACCGTCCCCATTGTTAGGTATCACAGCGCTCAATGTAATCGCTTTACCTGCTCACCCAAATAGTTGAAAATTGGAAAACAAAGACAGTAACTCACAGCCGTAGACTCTCCCATGTGGCTAATGAAGGCAATGAGCTCATAGCGACTGGGATCACCATTTGACAATGTCTCCTTTGTAATTTTCGACGAGCTTGCTGCAGTGACCGCTGTAGAGTTGCTTTGTTGCATCTGTTGTGCCGAGTTTAACAATACGTCGGGATTCGAAAAGGCCATGTTGATTGCAGCTTCCACATCGTTGCCACACGCTTCCAGCGCTCGTTTTGCCTATTTACGAAAAAGGCACAAATACACTTTTATGGTAAGTAGACAAATTTTCTCGACGTGGTTTGTTTGCGACTTTCAGATGTCCTCCAGTAAACGGACGGAAGGGAAACGCACATATGCTGCTGAAATGGCATAAGTAGTATTGGGCCAGATGGACCTTCGATGCCTCCCATCATTGGACCATTACGCTTCTGCCGTAAAATTTCACTTCAGACTATTTAACTATTAATTTGTAAGTAAATGGAGCCATGCAGCTTGGAGATAGTAGATTATGTTTAATATCAAGCAGCTTCATGGTAGCGAGTCGCCACCTTTCCACCATGCCGACCTCCACTTCTTACATGGCATTCCAACCCCCTCGAATCTCAGCTCACCCATTCATGCCTATTCTGTTCATTGCTTGATGATGCTGCTACCGTGATTTTTGAATAAATTGAGTGTTTTCGTGAGATTCCCACTCTTCTAGATTTCCTAACTGTTGATACGCGCAATGGGCTCGCTGAAGTCGGATTCTAAAGTCTTCTCGCGATGATGGCTAATCGTTATATGATCATCGTCCTTCTCCTGTGACAACGAAATACTATTATGTCGTAATTTCCAGACCCTTGACTGCATTTTTTAATAAACAGGGAGGAAGTTACTCACAAGATCCTCTGTAATACCCATTTCGAGCAGAGTGACGAGGGCACCCGTATCAACGGTAACACTGGAAGCAGTAAAGGGAGAAAGTGTGGAGCCAGGAATGGGGTCATTGAGATCAGGATCGTCCAAATGTTCCATTAGCCAGTTGGACGCTGCCTCTGCGTTTGAGGCTGTTGCTAAACAGGCACGCAGACAGGCGTTGCGTGTGAAGCCCATGCTCTGCAGTTGCCCCACCACGGCCTCGTCTGCTGCCACCGTTGATAGGTAGGACTGTTGGTCGCTGGTTTCACCTGGCAGATGGGGTTGAAGAAAACCAAGTTGAAAAGATCAGAAATCCACAACAGCATGCTATGAATGCGACTCAATAAAAGTTGTTCTTGGCTTTGGTCTGATAAAGAGTGACCCCTGAGATAAGTGTGACAAAACCGCATCACATTTTATCACAGGAAACTAGAAACAAACCAGGAAAACGATAGGGTAATGGAAGAAATTAGATGAAGCAGAGGAGAGAAGCGCCATCACTTTAAATAGCGGGGAATTAAAAGGAACATCGCAAATAAATACTCCTAACGCAAGTAGCCCAGCAAGAACGAATCCAACAGGATCTTCAGGAAACATCACAACCACCAAGTGACAAAAAAACGTCACAAACTCTTCGTTTCTGATTTAAGATTGATTTTAATTAGTTCAGACACTGCTATGAGGACCGACGTAGGAAAACAATCGTCGCTGGTGCCGTGAATGAGGCTCAAAACAAGATGTGACTAATTAAATTTTTCTTTACCTAACTACATGCTTGATTGTAGGAGGCCTTTAATCACTCACAAATTAGTCTTCATAGTAAATGTATGAGAATCAACCAATTCCGCCCCAACTGTTGGCCCTCCAGCCAGCACACTTGTGATGGCATTACACTTAAATTCAACCGCTTTATGCGCTTCCGCAAATAACTCAGATTTCTTTCAACAATAAACATGGGAAATTACGCTAAAAAAGCGCCGTTTGTCCCTTCAGATGATCCTAAACTTACACGAAAGTTAATAGACACAGAAACACCCCTTGAAATCGAGTGAAAATTGACTACTTAAATCAGTTATTAGTAGCATACGTTATTTCTTATTAAAACAGCACATTTCTTGACCAGAGGTTAGACAGCATTGTTAGCATTTGAAAGCAAGCGAAAGAAAATTAGCAGTTCAAAGCCATTAGCAATCTGAGAAACTCTATTGTTACCATGCTACGCAAAGGCGCAATAAGAAATATTAATCATGTTCCCCTTACTAGGCATGGCCACTTCGCCAGGTTGAAGGCCACCGGGAGCACGGAGAGCAGAAAGGTCTAGCCGCCACCCAGGTTGCGGACATCCTTCCACAGCAGAATTCCGATCCAGCTGAATAGCTACATTCAACTTCCGTGGGAGCCAGTTCTCGCTTAGAGTGAATTTAAGCATCTGCACGCAGAGAATGTCGGGGAATGTGACCAAGCGAGAGGAACGAATTGCTGTTGTCCTTTGACAGGGCGGATCAGTAGCTGGAGAAATAAAATCCGGCACTCTCTCCTGCGCTGCCCAACCGGAGAGGCAGGCCTATTCGAATTAAACGACTGATATATGACTTTTGCTAACAGTCACGACCTTCAAGCATCGACCTTGGACCTTACATTACAGTGGTAAAAACGATAAAATTCTTACGTCAATGCCGATTTTTAGGTAGACCGGATCCTCCTTAAAGGGCGCCTTGGTCTTCTCTGCTTCGCTTCTGCGTTTTTCATAAGCATTAACCTCGTCCCTGTTTGTTGCCGCCTCCAGTGGAATCGGCAGGCAGAGAATCGTTTCCACTCGTTCCTTGTATTGAACCTGTCGAACGAGACAGAACTTCGTTTGTTAAATTGTAATGGATGGTTGAAAGCATGAACGAACGGCATGGTCCAGTGGATATTTACAAGGATCAAAGGGGAGAGAGAATACGACAGTTTGATGCGTGGAAAGCAGATTGGATAGGTGAATGGCTAGGACAGCCAAACACATATTTAAATGGAATGGTTGAAGGGATGGAAGAAAGGAGAAATGAATACAAGGATGGTAGCCGGGTGATATAGGGATGGATGGATGACTGGTTGGGAGGAGGGCCAGTTGGTTGTAAAGATGAGTAGGTCGAAGGATGAACAGATGATAGACGATTGGAATGACGGGCGGGTAGGTGAAAGGAGCCAGGATGGATGAGTAGAATGGTCAAGCAGGTAGTTTGAGAGGGAACTGGTTCTTCCTAAATGGGGTAATAGTTGAATAAATCAAAAGGTAAACGAACCTTGCCAGTCAATCCGCATTGAATACGGTCCTCCACAGTGAAGGCAAGCGAATTTAAGGGGGAAGGAAGCCAATCGTGCAGTTTTCACCCACCTCGCGTTCCACAAGATCAAAGAGGTGGACGAGGAACTCCTGCACATCCTGCTGTTGTTTGCTCGCAAACTCTGTGTTCGTACGACCCATTAGGTGACGAAACATGCGTGGACGGATGCCTGTAGTCAATGAGAATCAATTTGGGAAGGATTAATAGACCTCCAGTTCAGGATAGGTGGAATCTTCGATAGACAAATTTGAAACGCATGAAGAGCAGATGAGCAAATGTATGATAGACTGTTTGGAGATGAAAAGATCTAGAATGAATGGATAGATTAATAATCCCACAAGAGATGGGTAAACAGAAAAATTTGCTCCAGTTCAAAAGGTTGTGCGATCATAGCTGCACAAAGTCCAGAGTGGTGGAAAATTAACTCACCGAGTTACCTGTAATGGAAGAAGGAATTGGGGAAGAGTTAATGGATAGACAGGATGGGGACACGGGTGAGTGAATGGATGAGAACGGGATGTCGACTAAATGGCACTACCAGTAGCGAGAACACTGAGAACCTCACCAGGTTGCTTGGGTACCACCTCTCCTCCCTTCATTTCGCCAATCCCTACTGGAGGAAACGAGTAGACACCGGAGCACAGCGCCTGACCCAATTTGCTCATCTGTAGACCGAAGGACTCTACGGCAGCAGTGGCACTTCCATTACGTGCCACTGCGTCCATCGCCGCCTCCACATATCTTCCTAACGCGAGGGCATAGCGCCTGCG